AGATCGGACCATAAATATGGTCCGATCTATGCATAGATCGGACCATAAACAATAATTAAAAAAGCTGAAGGTACTCCGGGTTTAACAATGACATCGGGACGTCAGTCATCTCAGTCCCATGGTGCGTGCCATGGGTGCTGGAAAGCATTTAGAGAGTATTATAAGAGAGGAAAGCGCCCGAAATGTCGGGAATTAAAAATAAAAAGTAAAAATAAACGCGATAAAATCCGTAAAAGTATGTAGTTTTAATCAAGTAGGTAAGTTACTCTACGTTATTACATAAGTGCGTAAGGGACTGATAATATTCTTTGCGAAATGTATGCTCGATGCGAAATGTATGCTAAAAGTATACTCTAATATACGAACCTCGGGAAAAATATAGCCATCTTATTTCTTACCATGTGAAACTTCATAGGTATAAAGAGTTCAGCTATATGGACTTTATTCTTTTTTTAGGACTCGTTTTATGCTAGTTTTTGGAGGCGGGAGACATTGCGAAGGCCTTCGATCGGGTTTAACACAAAGCGATTCTTTCGAAGATCCCTTCCTCTCAAAAAATCAATTATTGAATTTTTCCGTCAAGAAATTCTCAGTAGCTGCCCGGAGTCAGGAAGTTGGCAGTGTCTCACTCCCGTGACTCGGAAAGCACGTAAAGATTTTGGTCCCGCGCCTGATCTCTCTCCGGTTGTGTCAGTTTACCGTCACATCGGATTATGAGAGCGAGGGAAAAGACAAAAGAGTGTGTCTGTAACTGTTTTAAAGGATTCGAACGCCTATTACATATACGTTGTACGTTGAGTCGAGAGGCGGCTGGATGAAGGGGCCCCGCGTGCCCGGTCCACGCTTCATATTGCCTGAGGTGGCTGGATGAAGGGGCCTAGCACGCCCGGTCCACGCTTCATATCGCCTGAGGTGGCTGGATGAAGGGGCCTCGCATGCCCGATCCACGCCGCATATAGCCTAATGCGGCTGGAAGAAGGGGCCGAGAACAGCCGGTCCGAGGAATATTATACGATTCTTTGTAAGGGGATGAAAGGGTTACGGACACCCATCCATAGTTCAAGTGACTTCCGATAAGTTAAAAAAAGTGGCCATGTACACCCTGCTCATGCCTTTAGTATTAGACCACTAAAATAGAGAGCACAACACGCTCAGTGCACACTTTCAGTAGTGCCGATGTAATACCGATGATAAGCCCGGATCAGTCGACTACAATCGACCTAAATGAAGTCGAGCATGGTCGAGCATTGTAATATTTAACAAGTGTCAATTTCTGTTGCAGGCGGTGATAATTGTTAAACCGTATGCTGACGGCTTACTGTTAGCCATAAGATGATGTGTGACAGTCAGCGTTTAGTGTAAATAATGTGTAGTGTACATTTGTTGTATAAGGAACGATTTAGAATCTTATGGCTCTTGGATATTTTTTAATTATCCTATACCTCTAAACGAGCACATTCGATTTTTTATATTTTTTTTATTTATATATATTATATATATATATATATATATACAATTAATCGGAATCTCGGAAACGGCTCCAACGATTTTCATAAATATTACGAGTAATTTATAGAAAATGTCGTTTTGTCCGTGTTTTCGGGCAATGAAAAACTACTACAATATAAAAAGGTAAATTTTGATACTGTGTTAATGATCGTAATAGCTCAAGTAGATATCTGGCCGTCGCGAAATCGTAGTGCGCTAGTTCGCGTCTCGTCTAAAATCCGACTTTTTCCCCCTTTTTTTTTTTAAGTTCCCCTCTTTTGTGAGAAAATCTATTATTTTGAGTATTTTTTTAGTATTTTTTTAAAAATACGAAAATTTAAATTAAAGTAATTGCTGATTTTTTATTCAAATAACCAGTTCAGTTTTCTCTATTATGTCAATAAGATCAAAAAATATTATTTATGTTTCTTCAGTATGTAATTTGTATCTAAATATAATTTCTAAAATACACGATTTAAAAAAAACCGAGCAGAGCTCGGTCATCCAGGTACTGATTAGTAAAGTTTCTTTTGAATCGATTGGTGTGTAGCTGTTCGAAGGGACAATGTCGTCAGGGCTAAGCACTAGCGGCTGGTCGAAAGGACACATCCGTTCGGTCCAGTCGGGTCAGTCAAACTGAGTGTAGATAACAGTATAGTCGGGCCAGACCCAAGTGGTTGGTCGTAAGGACATACTAATTTTGCGTGTGTATAAGACTGCTTGAGAGAAAGGTTCCATCCGGTTCATGCGTGATCGAAGGGAAGAACGCTTTCGATGATTGTATGATTGAGGATGCTAGTACATCTACAATAGTATGTTTTTTTTATAGCGTATAACTACCATCGACGTCTATAGTTTAGTATACGACGCGCTGTTTTCCACAACTCCACGTCTAAGCGCGTATTTTGCGTGTGATTATTCGAGCCATGATATCTCCCCGAAGAAGTTCAACAGTCCTTTGATGTTGCAAGCAACTTCGGGGAGGGGTTCCGGCGTTATGAGATGTTTAGCCCTGTATGAAGCGACATCTGGACATGTCAGCAACACGTGAGCCTCCGTTTCTTCCTCTCCCATGCATGCCCTGCACAGGAGGCTATCAGTAACACCTATAGTAAACAAATATTTGTTAAATGAGCCATTTTCTGTGATAGCAACATGTTACTGTCCTGATCTGTGGCTTGTTCAGTCTCATTAGAACCTTGGTTAGACGACTGTTTATTGCAGGAAGGGCCTCCCCTAGCTTGTCTAGTCTACTATTTTTTTTAAAGCTGAGCGTGTAAATCATTGAAGTATCTACGTACCAGTGAACGAACGTAGCCAAAGGGGACTGGTATTATAGGTTCCGGCCCTATGGTAGCCTGAGCCGATTCTCTTCCGGCCAGTTCATCTGCTGCATCGTTGTCTCTAGATCCACTGTGTCCCTTGATCCATTGCAGAGTCACATTGTTGTGCTTACATACCTCATTCAATCGTTGATGGCACTCATATATCAGTCCCGAGTTCGCCACATTACAACTCAAAGCTTGTGGTACCGCCATACTGTCGGTCAGTATTCTGATGGAGAAGGCAGCCATACAAGCCCATCTCTGGTAACGCTGAAGCTTACGTGTAGTGGTGGCTTCATTAGTTTTGGTCCACCATACCAGAGAGCCGTATGTGATCATGGGCCGAATTACAGTTTTGTACAGCCATAGTATAATTTTTGGCGTCAAACCCCGTCGTTTGCCAACCATGTTTCTGCATTGCCAGAAAGTTAAACTAGCTTTGTTGATTTTGTTTTCTATGTGTTTATTCTAGTTAAGTTTACTGTCCAAGGTAAGACCTAAGTATTTTACCTCGGAGGATAGCCGGAGTTTTGTGCTGAAAAGACTTGGGAGATGATAGTTATTCAGCATTCGTTTTTGTGTGAACATTACCAGAACCGTTTTGTTTGGATTAACGGTTAGGTCATATTCTCTGCACCATCTCTTCACAATATGGAGAGCCGCTTGGGTTAGGTCGCACACAATGCTTGCTGTCTTTCCAGAGATCAGTATTGTCAGATCATCTGCATAACCGACTGTGTAGAAATGATGAGTCGCTGATGGGTTCATTAATGACCATATTCCACAGGAGAGGTGAAAGAACCCCACCCTGAGGGCATCCTGATCGACGCCTATAGTACCGTACAAGCTGTACAAAGAACTGTATATCTGTGTGTGTTTAGTGGGAAGATCCAGTTGTCCAGTCCATGTTGTCGTATGATATGGTGACTGATCGAAGGGACGCTGTCGCTCTCGGAGTTAGGTGTCATGGGAAATGATGGCTGATCAAAAGGACACCTTAGCTAGTGTTACGTTTTCACGAGGTAAAACGTAATCGTCCTTGCATTTGCATGTGTAAATTTTCAAAGGTATGATGAACAGTGTGCCTATTCATGTCAGGATAGACGAGCGGACAAATTGGAGATTAAAAGTGTTTGTTACAGGAATTCAGGAAGATTCACGCCCGAGGACGTCGTATGTCTGGGTTGGCCGTGTAGGCACATCTGTAAAATGCCGGTTGGATCTAGTGACTAGTTGGAATTGAGGGTATATCGAGAAACCCTCCCACTCATTTGTGAAGTATAAAGTTCAGTGTAGGTGCAGAGCGCAAGAGATTCCGCTTGAGTCGTTTCACCAGTGAAGTCATTCTACGCGTGCTAAGATAGTCGTTGTTCTGACCATTGTGGTGATTCTTCTGGTACAGGCAAGGAGGATGGTGTTGCTGAGAGCCTGTGCTGTGTTACGTTGAGATGGGTAAGGTTGCTGCTGGTTTGCATAATTTGGTGTTAACATGTAGTTGTGTCCTTCACATTGCACTGGTATGTAATTGTGATGGGGATATACTGCGGTATGGTCAAACTGTAATTACACGCTGTCCTATTATTGATAATGATAAATTGCGCAAGCAAGAGAGCCAGTTGAACATCAGCTCTCACACTTTTACCATTTTTAATAATTCACGCTATCCTGTTACTTCCTACGGAATTGGCTTATCGTGTTGTACTTTCTGACATATTTTTAACAATTTCTCAAATTTTGTGAATCTTTGTTTCTATATTTTGGCAGCGCGTGATTCACTCGTGATCATACTAGAAAATGTCATTGTTAACACCTCATTACTTGTACTACTGGTCATTCCTTCTAAAAGCTATTTAAGCTTTTCTAACTCAGATAACTGTAACTGGTCAAAAAAGATGTTTTAGAAACTTTACCCCTACTACGTAGTATATACTATTATTTATTCTGTGGCCCTGCACCACTCTTGTGTCGCGGAAGCGTTTTACACACATAAAATATACTTGAAGAAACATCCGGTCTTGGAGTTATTATTTGTAGGCCGTACAAATACTGGTTTAATTCAATATTCGAACCTACGGCCTCACAGTACCGTAGATAAACACTTGGACAATGCGCTACCGTGTCGTCAAGTACCTACTCCTTTTACAATGACTCTAGGTACATAATTAATTTTAATAATGTTTGTTTCAGTATATCGACTGCCCATTCCAAGAGCATCACCGCCTCAACAACAGTCTGCACCTCGCTGCGACGTAACGTCCAGCGGAAAACGTAAGCGCTCTTGGTCGCGAGCTGTGTTTAGCAATCTACAGAGGAAGGGTCTGGAACGACGCTTTCAGATACAAAAATATATTACGAAACCCGACAGGCGGCAACTGGCGGCTACTCTAGGACTAACTGATGCTCAGGTTAGTCGCAAATCATTTGTAACGAATGTTAATGGATTTTATTGTAGCATAGTGTTTAGTTCTTCCTGTCCTTTCAGACAATTTTTTTTATAGAATAAGGGTGACAAACGAGCACACAGTGCACCTAACAATACAACCACAAGTAAGTGGACACTGTGGCCCATAGACATCTACATTTATCCTCGATTAATAAACAAAACATAGATGCGTTGTCACCCCTGAGGACTAAGATGGAATGCTTCGTTTCTAGTAAAAAAAGGTTCCCCAGATCTCTACACTCACCGTACGAAACCCAGCAGTATTAAGCTGCTATTTTACGCTGATATTCTGAGCGAGCTGCAATGTGGCTCTACCACGTATATAGGTTAGGATTAAAGGTTAATGAAATATTTTCTATACCTACATATAATAAAACAGTAACGAAAGAAAAACTCTACATTGAAGAATTTTCGAGAAAAAATAAGTGGCTTTGTTAGAAAAACGTAACTGATGACAAAAAGTGACTTTTTAGAATTTTTGTTTGTTTGTCTGTTTTTCTGTTTGTCTGTGTGTATGGTACGGCTTCACGCCAAAACAAAATAGATTGAATTGAAATTCAGCAAAAATGTTCTTTGTAAACCAATGAAGACTTTAGGCTACATATTATCATGCCGTATGTTATAGGAGGTAAGCAATATTGATTTTAACCCTTAACTTGGTAACGTATCTAATAATGCACAAATTAAAAAAAATAATTTTGAAATATTTTAGCAGAGTTAGGCTAAAATTATATTTTATTTAGTTTATGAAATCCTTCTATTCGGCAGTAAAAATATTATTTATTACGTCTGGCATACATTTGAATTAAGTAGATCGCAAAATGGTGAAGCATGCGCGTGCGTCTTCGAGTTATATAGTAAGAATCGATTAAAATCCTATCAAAATATTGTTGTTACGACAGATATATGTGATAATTATGTAATTGAATGTATATTGTGTTGGTAATGCAAAAGATTTTAATCGAAAAGTAATATTTTCTATCTAAAATATTACTGTCAATGTGCATGTATCTACAAATGCACATCGCCAAGATCCTGTACTATGACCTGACTTTTGAAGTGTGAAGTTTGAACTTACAGCACTAGAGAGTACATTTTACTGTGAGCATTTTCAGATAAATTACCGAGTATGAAACGTTATTGAAATCGTATTTATTGTGTCTAATGTGTATAATGGTTTGTTTACTTTTTAGGCCTGTACGAAACTTACAAAGTAAAGACGACTACTGGGAGATATTAGTATCGGCCGAAAATGCGATGAAAATGGTTTGTTGAGACGAGTTTGTTGAGTAATTTGTTTACGTCCAATGTTGTTGCTTTTCCAAACAATGTAATATTTCCAGCGACACCTTCACCGATCTCTTCAATAGCTAATAGCTCTACATATATATTATTCTTTCTATTACCATCAAATGCTACTTAATCCAGAAAAAGAGATTACCTAGTCAAAAACACTGTAGTTGAAAAAATCTTGAAGTTAAGCGAATAATTGCAAGATTTAATTACACTGCTGAAATCAGTGATAAAATATTCAGCGAACCTTCTGAAACAAAATCATCGTTAGAATATGACAAACTATTTCCTCAGAGGATATATTTGAATTGATAGTTCGAGAAAGTAATTTATATCTTATGCAAATAAAGGGCACGCCCATGAATTTGACTTTGGATGAAGTAAATGATTTTATTGCTATTAATATGGTCGAGGGTGTCGTGTACGTTTGCTAACTTGTACGGATTATTGGTCTAAAGCTCTCAGATACAGAAAAATAGCAGACATCATAACACTGAGAAGATTTCAACTGATCCGACGATATTTGCATTTTGTGGAGGCTTTAGGTGACGATGGGGATCGTTATTACAAAATAAGACCTGTTTTAGAAAAAATTCGCCAAAATTTCATAAATATTGAAGAGGAAGACTGGTTCAGTGTGAACGAAATGATGGTGCCGTATAAAGGTACTAGAGCGGGTACCCAGCGGGCAAACAGTACATCAAAAATAAGCCTCGAAAATGGGGATTTAAAATATTCGTTAGAGCAGGAATATCTGGAATGGTGTATGATTTTTTGCTTTATTGGGGAGAAGACACTTTTTGATTTCATCAATTCAATGAAGAAGAAAACAGTATGGGATTGGAAGCTCAAGTTGTCATAGCTTTGAGAAAAACAATCAAAGAGCCTGCTTGTTAAGCGATTTATTTTGAAGATTTTTTTACCTCTATAGAATTAGCTTATCACCTGAGAAATGAGTACGGGATATTCTCCTTGGGAACAGTGAGACCAAATCGTTTGCATGGAGGAGACAAAAGCTTCCTCCTGATAAAATTTTGGAAAATCGAGGCCGCAGAGCTTTTTCGCAAATTACTTCAAATGAAAGAAAAGTAAGTAAAGTTTTAGACTAAGCAAATAGTTGTAGTCACTTACATTTTTTATTTTGATCTGTCTTTTTGTAATTTGAATTAATTAATATTGTTGTCATATTATATCGCTTTATTATTTTTATTTTTAATTATCTCTAGGTATGTGATAACTGTGTGACTGTGGTCAAAAATAATTATAATAAAGTAGTTGAAGTTCTGTTCCTACTATAAGTTGAAGACTGTGATTTTAAATATGTTCATAAAGATATTATATGTTTAGAACAGTAAATACATAAATTATTCTATAAAAATATATATATTTTTATTTACTACCTACCCAGCAATGTATCCTATAGTGCACATGGATTTTCAAAGATGAATTTCTGGTTACTTGGTAGTGTGCATTATTAGATACATGGTATAAAAACAAAACTAAATTTGGCAGATTTTTTTATTTATTTTTTTCTTGTATATTTAGCACCTATCAACCCAAATATATGACAGAAATATAAAAATAATGACATCATAAAGTTTGCCAAGTTAAGGGTTAAAAGGTTTTTCTTCGTAATTGAATGCATAAAATAATTGAATGCACAAAATAATTGAATGCACAAAATGACATGTTATTAGTTAAAATAAAAATAAAAAATAACTCTAGGAACATAATAATCACGCTATTTTCATAAAGGAGCGGGGCAGTAATATTATAAATTGCAAGGGAACAGCTGTTTAACACTATGTCAACGGGGAATTTAGCGGTAAGGTCAGGCGACCGTTTACCGCATTAAATGGTGCGACTTTAAATCCAATAATATTGTTTTGAAAAATCGTAATTTTTTTTATATTTTTGTATTTTTTATGTGCATTAGGAAATCTGAGAACTTTACATGTCCTATCAAATTGTATGGGGAGTTTCACACCAATATTACTAAACAGATTGATTGGAGGTACAACAAGTTACACTATCATGGAGTCAAGTCAAACTTTTGATTCTAATTTATATCTTACCAAGCACATTTGTTGTAGGTAATTGATTTAAGTATGTAATTCTTAGTTTTGTTCCTTGCTGCTGTTACCATATTTTTCTTAATGCAAAAATAATGTATTTACCTGTTAAATTAACGACAATTTAGTTTTAATTCATAATTTAATTAATTCATTTGGGTAGACAATATGTAGTTTCCGTTTTCTAACTAGATGACGTTGGTGTCAAGTTAGATCGCGCTATGGTTTCGTTCCCAAAAAGTGATGTTATAGGTGCCGATGGGCCGCTCTCATACTATAGAAACGGGGGTTATCTTTGTTGTCTGTGTTGGTTGGTGTGTTTAATTTTCCTGCGAATAATTATTAGATATACTTACTAGCAATTCTTATGCACATATTCGATTACTTTACATTGTTTTGAATATCGTTAGTATCGGATTAAGAAGGAATTTTAGCTATGCCTTTTAGAAAAAGATCAAATCTGTCTCGAAACTCAAGGGTTTCTAAGATGCGCAGGTTAGTTCGATCTCTCGAAACCGACGCAGAGCGTGAACAACGGCTAGGTGCTAACCGCGAGCGTAATGCACTAAGTTTTTTTAAAGTTTGCAAAAGCATTTGTTTATTCAAGTCGGGAATTTTTTTTAAAGTTATTTGCAATATTATTAATTCAGTGTACCCTTGGGTGAAATATACGGGATGAAAAGGTTTTTGTTGTATAGATGTTAAGTCTAGGCAACATATAGGCTATAATTTATTTTGGAAAATGGAACACCTGATGCAGAACCGCAACAGACCAGCTAAAGTATAAGAGATATAAAAATGGTGCCATAGCAAAAAATATTCCACGTGAAGAGTATTTTCTGCTGTGAGAATAAATTTGAAGATCTGGAATACCTGTTGTGGAACTCCAAAGCCCAGCGACATTATAACATATATAGGAATGACGTCTTAGCAAAAGTTGTTTAGTCTGATGGGCATTTCCTGTTGACTTACAAAAATGAAAGATCTGGAACGTCTCGAATCGTCTCGCGCATCACGTTGTTTTCCCGACCCCGGGCTCTTAGAATTCGACATCAGACGTTTTAAATCTTCGATTTTGACGACCCCGTTATCGCTGGCATAATCAATAGGATCCGCGTACGAAGTCGCGGGCAGAAGCTAGTTTCAAATAAGACTGCCAATGACATAACGGATCTCAGATGTGATACTTCAATACTTGCTGTATGAAGAAGCTGATCACTGGCGAGCTATTGAGAGAGACAATCTCGGAGTTTTTCTACATGATAGAAGTCGTACAACCAGAGTAACAGATATAGTCAAACAAATCGGTAAGCTGAAGTGGCAATGGGCAGGCCACATAACTCCAAGGACCGTCAATCGATGGAAAAATTTGGCTCTCGGGTGCCTCACACTGGTAAACGCAGTGTTCGGCAACCCTTCACTAGATAGAGTTTAGGTAGTCACTGGATGCAGGTGGCTCAGGACTGTACTTTGTGACGATCTATGTGGGAGGCCTATTTTTAGCAGTGAACTTGTGATGAGCTGTAGTGTGTATAACTATAGTCAGTGCCGAATTAACTACGTAGCAACAGTAGCAGTTGCTACGGGCCCCGCGCTATAGAGGGCCCCGCACATCCAGGCCTGCTCATCACCGCCTATGCGTAAATTTTTGAGTAAAACTTATGATATATTGTATTTACTTGATTACACAAAAGCGTTAAACTTAACACTTTTTCGATCAAAACAATCCACGTCAGACTATCGGTAAGCGATTATTTCGTTGGCGAAAATGAAACACGGAATTCCACGGTAAACTCACAAGTTTCAACGCCCAACACCCCGAATGGCTTGGTTCTCATTGGCTGAGCTCAGTAGTGGAATAACTGTTTATTTTTATTTTTAATATTGTTATTTTAGATACAATTTAGACAGAAATAAGATTTATATTTTGTTGAAATTTATCGATTTAATAGTATTTTAACTACCATACAATTTAAACTAGATCCATTGCAGGTGAAGGTGTGGTTTCAAAATCGACGTATGAAATGGCGGCACACGAAAGAAGGTCGTGCAGGTCTCGGAGGAGCTATGGGCGCGATGAAAGATCCAGATTCTTCAAACATTGCCTACGACGACAATGAAGATGTGGACGTCGACACACTTAGTGATTAAGTTATTTGTGCATACTATTGTATGCTGTAATATTTATAATTTATAAAAACACACGTTATGAATGAATGGAAAATCGAATTCCAAGTATTTAAAGAAATTATTTTAAGTTATCACCGTTGTCCGAAAATCAGAAGGACAACACCAAGGAACACTACTCTCATACGATAACATAAAGGAACCATCAATACTTGTTCACATCAAGCTTGTTAAATATTTATCAAAACTCCTGTCATTAACCATGATCTGGCTCCCTTAATTTCGCCACCTTCGATAAATCAGTTCTGATGTAGCACAGAATTTACAAAATCCTAACAAACTCATTTAGCATCTGCTCCGCGTTCCTGATTTATTAAGCATATTTTGTGTAGGATTTTAAGGTAAAAACCAATCACTTTGTTTCCCGATGAACTATTTCAAAGATAATTCAATAAACTCAATATTATACATTTTTCTGCAATAAACTGAGCGCCGCAGTTGAACACCAATGAGTGACGATTATAAAAAATCATCCCTGACTACAGAACACCTACCCTATAACCTACTCTCTACCGAGTCTCTGATTCTGGACTCTAGCTAGAGCGTAGTTTAAACCTCAGGTCAACCTTGCTATGGGAGACGGAGACGTCGTATCCAGCGGACTGCTTAGGGAGAAAATAACAGAGCAATTAAGGTGCTATACCTATAGCCCGTAAATGATTTTTATTGCTAAAAATAGTTGTACAAATAATGTTATAAATCCATGAACTATGTAAGAATGATGCAATGTAATAGGATGTAAGAATTTTTAACGACAGTAATTTTATGTATTTACATATTATGTTTTAAAGTCCAATAATATATTCGTTACGTAACTGATAGAATAAAGAGAGACATAAGTACTGATACATGTATTTTCCTGTACCTCTAATATACTATATACTAATAATACCAATTTTAGTCAATGATTTACATTTTCTGTGCTAGTTTATTACGGAAATACCAATAAGATCTCGGTTGTTGCCTACAAATAATTGAAGAACTGAAAAATAGTACAAACTATAACGATATTACTAATAGATACTTTTGAACATAAAGTTCAATTTTATTGGTAAAACAAAGAATAGAAAAGTTCGAATATAATAATATCACAAAGGTATATAACTTACTTATTTAATAAAGTATAACAAGGAGAAGGATTGTAGATACGATAAAAGTTTCTAGTTTATTAAAATATATTTTTACTGTGGTATGTTACGAATTTTAGATTATTTTCTCTTCCGCATTTTTTTTTCTTCAATTTGATTCCAACCTGATAAAATGTTAAACTTTTTCTACAATAGAAAGCAATTACACGTATTAAAAAGATAATTAGGTCCTAAAAAATGGCTACCTCCTTTTCTTCACAACAATATTGCGATTTGAATCAAATTGTATTTATACCGAACACTCTCTTGGAAAAACATTCATCACAATTTGACATAGGTGTAAAATATGTTCTGATCAGACAATATACTACTAAAAGTCAGAATGTGTCAAAAAAGGCACGTATGACATTTCACAGTGCTGTATTAGTCCCTACTTTAACGTATGGTAGTGAAAGTTGGGTGTGGCAGAAGAAGCACGAGAGTAGAATAAATGCAGTAGAAATGCGGTCGCTAAGGAGTATGTTAGGGCTGAATCTGAGTGACAGGGTGAGAAACTGTGATAAAAGAAGAGTGTGGTTTGCAAGATGATGCGGTGACCAGGATTAAGAAAGGAATGCTTCGGTGGTTTGGTCATGTAGAAAGAATGAATGCGAAAAGACTGACAAAGCAAATATATGTTGCAGAAGTGAATGGAAGAGTCGGAAAGGGACGTCCTAGGCGGAAGTTTGTCGACCAAATTGGCGATATACTAAAAATGGGCCAAATTAAGAGTACCCTTAACCGACGAGCATGTATGCGTAGGTATATGGATGTGGAAGAGGCGAGAAAGGTATGTCAGGATCGTGCTAAATGGAAGTCTGTAGTCTCTGCCTACCCCTCTGGGTGACAGGCGTGAGTGTTTATGTTATGTTATGTTATGATCAGACAATATTATCTACGTGTAGTGGCGGCGTAAGAGAACCCATACGTTCAGTAACCCATATCATCCCATATGAAAGAAGTAATACTTATCTACTTTTTATATCTATACTATCTACTTCATTTGTATGGACTTATTTTTATCGATTAATCGATATGTGATTTCAATTATCCTGAGAGGTTAACAAAAGATGCTGTAGTTTATCTCCTGTTTCCTTGTCCTTTTTCGCCTGCATTGTTACAAGATAAATAATATTATCAATTCATATTGTCTGAATTATTCTAGGGAGCAATTGAATAACAGGTACAGCACTTTTGTATTATCCGTTATATGTTGGTCGCCAAAATCTTGTTCGTTGATCAGAAAAGTGAAGAGCAAGCTCCACGTAAAGAAGTTCGCATTTTGGGAAAATCATAAGGACTTCCAAAATATTAATTAGACTAACATGTGATTGCCAACCAATCTAAAGGCAGACAAGCACTTTGATCAGACGATAAGATATTATTCAGACATTCAGTTTGCATAACTTAATTTTTTTTTGAATTATGGTCTTTATAATTGTGCCTGCATTGGTAGTGCTATCATTTGTCGTTGATAGATTCTTGTTTAATAGTTTGAATCATTGAGTTATACAACACTAGAGGAGCAAACCACATTACCGCGCGTCGAAAAAAGTGTAACCACTATCCTAACGCCACAACGTAGCTTTGAAACTAATAACAATTTTAAATAAACATATATCTATCTCACTTACACAAGTTGCGAAAACAATATCGTCGCTAAGATTAGATAAAGATAGACACACAAACACGTAATGGCGGGTTGGTGTGGCTAACTATATGAAAATTTACCTAAAATACGCAATAAAAATTAGTTTTTAAGCTGCAGTTAATTGTTTTTATATTAAAAAAGTATATTTTATTTTAAAATCTTTATTGCGTCCTCTTAGAAAAAAAGGATACAAAACTTATCAGATGAATAAAAGTAAACATAATGAAATATAACATATTTTTATTGTACTAATAAATTTTAATTAATATAATATTATTAATATAAAATAGGTAATAAAATATATATAATAGATAATTCATGAATAAATTAAAATAAGAATAATCAATTATTTTGTATGAAAGTTAAAACGTAGTTTATATTATAATTACCAATAATCACAAATGCGGAAAAGTGGCAACAGTGGACCTAAATGGTAATATTCGATAATTTTATTTAATTATCTGAGGTTTTTTACGTTTATATGAAAACAAGAACTAAAAATTGTGTGTTGAAACTGATTCCGTTTGATTTATTACGTTTTTGTGACCTTGAATAGCATTCTTTCACTACGCATTTACCCATTTTTTTGTCGCGGCTCAACTTTGTCGGCGTCACATTGAACACTGAACTGACGTCAGCAAGGCATATGGCTGTGGCCATATGTGAAGTGGCAAAGCTTTGGCGCGGTAATTACTGATCTAGTGTAATATATAAATCAATAGTCTGAAGTGTCAGCGTGTTCGTACTTATCTAGGAAGACATCGGTGTCAGGCCTCTGTCACTCTTGCTACCTGCGTGAAATAATTACCTAAAATCGCGAGGCGCCCTGGGCATACGCAGTCGGGGCTAGCGCGTTGAAGTCGATTCAATGTTAAAGTTTTTTAACGCTGTTTACGTAAATAGTTTTATGTAAATACTTGTTGAATAGTTTTTGTTTAGTGTTTAGCATATTTAATTGTAGGTAAAATAGTTGTAAAAGTTTTAATGTATTTAAAAAATTCTATATTATGTATATTACCTATTCAATAAAATCAAAGTTATAGTAGGAAAGGTAAAACGTCGTTCCTACTATAACTGTTGCGTGGATGGATACTAAATGAAATAACCAACAAAAGGTTTCATATCATTCTTTAAGTTACCGAAGAATTTTAGAAGGAAATTATGAAAGGTGAAATTATTTTATTTTTTTGTTAGATAGGTACTTACAGCAAAAAAGAATTAAGTAATAATTTGGTCTACAGAAGAAATACCTAAGTACTTTATTACAAAAATTAGTTAAAATTTACTTCACTATCTAAGTATTAACTTATATACATATCTATACTTGTATTTTGTATAATAAACACAAAATACTGAAATTAAAACTTTGTATACTAAGAAGATTTTTAAGTAGAATAGATCACATTTCTGTTAGGAATCGTATTTCAGGTTTATTTGTTGTTTACACTATCTTAACTATTTCTTCCGAACCAAGCATTGCGATTCCCGACGAATGACCTTGCAATTTGTATGCGTTAGGCATCGCAGAACTCACATAGGGGCGAAAGTATGGCCAGTCGATCATAGTCAAAACAGGTACTTCACCTAAGTACCATAATTAACATTTCGCAATGTATTTTTTTACTTTCTATTGACATCCCTTAATAACCACGGAAAGTCCGCCGTGACTTAGGAAGCGGAAAACATGCAAAGTAATATGGACACTAACGCGTAGCGATTAAGTTTTATTTAGCTTGCGTGCGCGATTTATCTGATTAATAATAATTATGTAGGCTATTAAACGTCGGCAAGCAGTTGAAATCAAAAGAGTGCAACTTCTGTACGTAGTACTATTATTTATTCTGTGTCCGTGTGCCTTACAAAGATAGCAATAAAGAGTGAAATCCACCCAAGCATTTTATAATAAAAAAGTGTTATACTGTAGTACATTTAATTCATTTCTCTTATCTAAATTATGATACAAACTCCTATGTGATACATATTAATACGATCTAATAATCGACAAGTTTAATTTTACTTTTAGAGTAACTTTCTGCGCTTTCTTTCCCACCATCTTGTTGGCTATGCGATTGCCAACTAGATGATCCATCGCCATGTCTTTGTGGTGGTCCTCCTTTATAACTCTGACTTTTATATCCTCCTCTAGGCCCGAAAGGTCTTTTTCTATCCGAATGGTAGCTCTTTTCTTGTTCCCATTTGTTTTCATAATTTTGCTCTTGGCGGGAATGCTCATAGCCTCGACTGCCGTAATCTCTGTTAGGATACTTTTCGTATCTGCTGGAATGGGTACTTTGAGGTCTTTCATCTTCGTATCTTCTGTCATCGCGACTGTAATGACTTTCCGAATTGTCTTGATACCGTCTTCTAGGATTGCTTGGATAGTGTGAATTTTCTCCGAACTCTTGAGTTCTTGACCTGTATGGGGGCGACTGTTCCTTGTTTGACTCCCACACAGGGACACGTCTCTGTTTAGGCGAGGGAGTCCTTGAACGACTTCTATAGTCCCTTCTTTTCTCTACTGCTGGTGATTGTCTGAATCAAAATAATATAATAGTTAAATAAAATAATTAAAGTTTTAATGTTAAAAAATACATCTCCAAAACGAACATTTTTTAGATTTTCTTAACCTCTCAAACACCAAGCGGCCAAATTTGACCGCTTCGATATTCCGTCAAAATTCAAGCGGTCAAATATGACAGCACTTTAACCCATAAAAACTTATATTTAGAGACTACTTTTCTATGAAGAAGTTTGGCATTATAGAATCAATATGAAATTTTCTATCCTCTAGTGGAATAAAAAAACAGTTAGTCTATGGATATTAATTTATATTCTACGTTCATTACGTACGCCATTTTCGTTTGGATGTCGTTGTGTTGATTTTTGGATTTTTCTAGTGTTTTATTATTGTGTTTTATTATAAAATTGTTATAAAAGTTTTTGTGTGAATATAATGTATCTTTTTACGTAAATAATTTTGAGTAATATATAGAAATAATTGTGATTTTCATGCTACCGACATCCGCTTGGTATATAAATCATCATCATCATCATCATCATCATCATTACAGCCCTTCACAAGTCCACTGCTGAACATAGGCCTCCCCCAAGTAATGCCACAAAGCACGGTCCTGAGCCACCTGCATCCATCGACTTCCTGCATGTCTTACCAGGTCGTCACTCCATCTAGTGGGGGGTCGCCCTACACTACGCCTACCGGTACGAGGCTGCCACTCGAGAACCTTTCTTCCCCATCGGTTATCGGTTCTTCGAGCTATATGGCCGGCCCATTGCCACTTCAGGTTACTAATCCGTTGGGATATGTCGGTCACTCTGGTTTTACTGCGGATATCCTCATTTCTGAGTCTATCACAGTGAAATGGTATATATATTTTTTTGTTATTAAAATACAACAAAATATTTTTGTAATGATGTATAACCTGACTTTTTTTAACGTGGTAGAGCCATGCTGCAATTATATTAATAGTATAGTTGTAGCACGAATGGGTCGGCTCGACCGGGGAAGGACCACGCTCTCACAGAATACCAGCGTGAAATAGTAGCTTAATGCTGCTGTATTTCGTATGGTGAGTGTAGAGAACCGGCGACCCTTTTTACTGGAAATGAGGCATTCCATCTCAGTCCTCACGGGTGACAACGCATTTGCATTTTGATTTGTAATGGAAGATAGATGTAGATGTCTATGAGCCGCAGCAACCACTTACCATCAGGTGGACTGTGTGCTCGTTTGTCACCCTATCCTATAAAAAAAAAAGACCACAGAATAGAGAATTATGTATAGATTTCATAATGCCAAACTTCTTCATAGAAAAGTAGTCTATGTATTATGGTTTTAAGTGCTACGGGTGGGTGCGATCGCATGCGACCGCTCGGGATTTGCCAGGCGCATGCGACTGCATGGGAATTTTATGGGGATTGAAGAGTTAATACTCTTTTGTAATTTAATATAATGTTTTATTTATAAATTAGTGTGGTTGGCAAGATTTTGTGACCAGGATTAACAAAGAAACGCTTTAATGGTATGGTAATGTAAAAAGAATGAATGAGTAAAGAGCGACAAAGCAAATTTATATCTGTAAGTGAATGGCGGAGTCGGCAAGGGAAGCATTAGACAGAAGTTTATCTACCAAATTGGCAATACATGAAAATGGCCCAAATTAAGAGTACCCACAACCGACGGGTATGTTATGTAAGCATACGGATGTGAATGAGGCGACAGCGGTGTGTCGGGATCGTGCCAAATAGAAGTCCGTTGTCTTTACCCCACCAAGCGACACGCGTGAGTGTTGCTAGTGTTTTTATAAATTATGTAAAATATAAAAATAAAAGTTAATCAAAAAGTACCTTGACGAAGATCCGCTACGACTTCTACCGGAATTATCATCGCTAGATCGTCGGTTCAGCTGATGTCTCATTTCCCGTTGCCTGTACATACACAAAGATCAAAAATATCATGAAATATTCCTACAACATTTTTTTGAACTGGGAATCTCCATTGTACATAACTAATGAGGATCACAACCTATTTAAATTTTTTTTTTTTTTTTTTTTTTATATATATGAATTACAGTTATAATACGAATGTGCTGTAAAAATACGGTGGAGGGATTAGTTTTCCATTTTTTAGTACACACTACTATAAGCAAAAGCCAGTGTAAAATAGCAGCTTAATGCTGCTGTGTTTCGTATGGTGAGTGTAGAGAACCAGAAACCCTATTTAAAGGAGAGCAATCATATATCTTAGTCACTCACACAGCACATCCCCATTTTGATTCTTAATTGAGGAATGATGGTGATACCTATGGGCTACAGCATCCACATATCATCAGGTGGACTGTGTGCTTGTTTGTTAACCTTATTTTCCATCGATCCATCCATTATAGCCTATGAAACTCACCTGATGAACATAGGCCTTGTCTGTAGATTGCCTCATAAAGGGGACTTTGCTGAAGTTGCCATATTTGGCAGGCAGGTTGGCAACCGCAGTTCTTTTATTATTTTCAATTGTTATCAGGATGCTGCTCCCCATCTCCCTATTTCTATTTCCCTCTGTCGCCTCTTACGACGCTCAGGGGAGACATAGGGTATAGTGGATATTCTTATACCTTCACTGCTAAGTACAGTATAAACCTTTATAAAATAAAAAATAAAATAGTGACGAGTAATCTGCGCTAAACTGAATGTTAATTAATATAATAAATATCTAGCAGAATGCCCGATCAGAAATATTTCAACTTAAGAATTTTATTAATGGGACCGTAAATTCCAATGCTAAAAACAAGGCGTTGGCAATATCCACTTCACTCAACAATAACTAGATTCAGTTGTAAACTTGTTTATGGGCATCTTTTCTGTAAAACATCTATAAGACCGGCATTCGAAGGCCGTTTTCATCAGTTGAAATAAAACAGTCGTACACAGAGATATGTATATTATCAGAGAAAGCTCCTCTACGCTCTATAATCAATCGGTAAATTTCATTTTTTTTATACATACATACATAAGCACTCACGCCTGTCACCCAGAAGGGTAGGCAGAGACTACAGACTTCCATTTGGCACGATCCTGACACACCTCTCTCGCCTCTTCCACATCCATATACCTACGCATACATGCTCGTCGGTTAAGGGTACTCTTAATTTGGCCCCTTTTCAATAGATCGCCAATTTGGTCGACAAACTTTCGTCTAGGGCGTCCCTTACCAACTCTTCCGTTCACTTCTGCAACATAAATTTGCTTTGTCACTCATTCATTCTTTCTACGTGACCAAACCACCGAAGCATTCCTTTCTTAATTATCGTCACAACATCATCTGGCATACCACATTCTTCTCTTATTACACAATTTCTCACCCTGTCACTCAGATTCAGCCCCAACATACTCCTTAACGACCGCATTTCCACTGCATTTATTCTACTCTTGTGCTTCTTCTGCCATACCCAACTTTCACTATCATATGTTAAAGTAGAGACTAATACAGCATTGCGAATTGCCATACGTACCTTTTTCGACACATTCTGACTTTCCCATAATAGAGTGTAGAGCCCCATTCACTCTATTTCCTGCGTTCACTCGTCATTCTATATCATTATCATATCTTCTATGCCTGCTAAATACGCACCCCAAATATAAAAACTCATCTACTTGCTCGACCAACTCCTTCTATTCTTATTTCACTTATTGTTTGACTTTCTTCTCTTTCAAAAACCAAAACTTTCGACTTACTTGCGTTCTCTTTCATTCCCCTTTCTTTTAACCTGTTCATTAATGTAACTATCATTTTCAACTCGGCCGCCGACGATGCAAATATAACTTAATCATCGGCGTACAAAAGGCATTTGACGGTTACCTCACCCATTCTTAACCCGCATTCTTCAACTTTCAAATTTTCCAAACAACTGTCCATAAATAAATAGGTTGAACAGCCACGGGAAAGCCACACAGCCCTGTCTGACACCTTTATGGATGCCAAATCAGCCCGAGTAGACCCCGTCGATACTAACACAAGCACTGGAGTCCCTATAAAGAGACTTCAATGCCTGTTCAGTGTTTGCCATAACATCTCTGTCCATTCTGTCATAAGCCTTTTTCAAGTCCATGAACGCACAAAAAGGTTTTTGATTTTTGGCCAAAAACTTCTCCACAATCATGCGCATGGAAAAGACCAGATCTGTACACCCCATTCCCTTTCTAAATCCCGCTTGCAATTCCCAAATTTTTCCATCAGTGTCTTCCACGACCCTTTCAATTAGTACCTTAGCATACAGTTTTCCCACAATGCTAAGAAGGCTGATACCGCTGTAGTTTTTACAGTCCTGCTGCGATCCTTTTCCCTTATATATTGGGACTATCATGGCTTTGCACCAGTCTTCTAGTACCTGCTTTAGGTCCCAGCATAAATTAAACAAAGTGTACAGCAAGCCTGCCAGCACTTCCTCTCCAGCCCTTAGCATTTCGAGTGAAACTCTATCATATCCGGCTGCCTTACCTGCTTTCATACTTTCCATTGCTTTCATCATTTCATCTATACTTATCTCTCTTTATTCTCTTTCCTCTTCTTTCGGAGTTTCCATTTCATCTAATGCACGTCTCCACACTTGTAAACACGCTTTCAAAACATTCCTTCCATCTCTTTAAACTCAAAACTTCATCATTCAGAATACTGCCATTCTCGTCTCGTACAGCATTCAATCAAGGCTGTTTTGAATTTCCCCTGGCAGTTCTTACGAGTTTCCAGAACATTTTAATATTTGCCTGGAAGTTATCCGATATTCTTCTATCATTCTTATCAATTCTTTCTTGCTTTTTTCTTTAAACTACTTCTTTTACTCTCTTATTTAGACATTTAAACTCTGGCTTTTTTCTTTCAATATCATCATTCGTACGGCCAGAATTACCAGACTTGATTGCTAGCAAATCTAGCCATGCTCTCTTCTTTGCTTCAACTTCCATACGTACCTCATCATCCCACCATAACATTATTATTCTTTTTATTCGTTCTCTTACTAACACCACATACTTCGGTAGCTGCATTTTTAACACATACAATATTATTACAGTTTGTGATTGTTATTTAATTATCATATTTTTTTATTTTTGAGCGTTAACCATCTCCATCATCATCATCCAACATCCAACGCTGTAAATATAACAGAACGCGAGTAACCCGGGTTTGATCCCCGCCAGCACCTATAAAATTGTTAATTGCAATTTTAAGTGCTGATTTACCACGTGCTCGGCGGTGAAGAAAAACATCGTGAGGAAACCTGCATGTCTGAGGAATAAGAAAAAAAAATATTTCGAAGACATGTGAAGTTCGCCAACACGCATTGGGGCAGCGCGGCGGACACTTCCTAGCCCTAAAACCCTCTCAGAAATGAGGGGAGGCCTGTGCCCAGCAGTGGGACGTATATAGGCTGTAACTTTACTTTTTTTACTTTTTATCATATTTTTTAATTCATGTGTAGTAGTTTAGTAGTGTGTGGGTCCAGAATGCTGTGTATCGAGCAAGATATGGACTTATGAAAGGAGGTGCATATACAATAAAGCTGTGTACAGACTTGCGACGCAGCTTAATGACCAGCTCGCGCATCTCCTCGTCGCGGCGCGCCTGCCGCCGGCTCTCGCGCGCCTGCCGCTCAGCCTCGGCACGCTTATCCGCACGCACTGAACACACACGTTATACCACAATAAGAGTATTGCTCTTTATTGTACACCAGCCAAACATAAATATTAAAAGTAAACAAATACTGAGGGAAACCCAAAGGCAGTCTCCTTGTTACACAGTAATCTCTTCCAAACCACCCAGAACAAAAAATTGTTTTTTTTAAACGTCACCCCCCACTATGATTATCTCCTGTATCGTGGAAGCAGTTGACATACATAAATTTCAGAATAGACCCGGAAAAATTATTTGTAGGTTATACAAATACTTGATCCGCGCGGGATTCTAACCCGCGGCCCTAAGTGCCGCAACTTATTGTTAAGCCACTGCGCCACGAAACCATCTATTAACCCCCAACAAGCTTTCGGCTGACCTGAACTGCTTCCTGGCGGCTCAAGCCGAGCCTACTTAACTCATCTCATAATCTGCCTTAGCTAGCCATACTTCTAAGCGGCTACTCGCCGCTTGCGCCCTCTTTTCAGCCAAGGAGGGTCCCGTCCGTTTACGGCTTAGAGATCTCTCGCTAGATCATTAAGCCAATCCCAAAAGGTTGTGTTTAGTGGGTAATAGTCTACACATAACCACGCAGCCGGCTGCGTGGTATGCTATGAGCATTCACCACCTCCCTCCCCCGTTACCGGAGGGTTGCCCTTATTTGCTTCGGGCGCAAAAAAACCATCTAATTTCATACAATTCAAAATTACATTAAGCAGTAATAAACGCTTCACGCCTTTGACGCTACTGTCGGTTGGCAATCGGGGAATTTTACACAATAATTAAACCTTCATAAATATAGATACCCTACAATAAGTTACGACACGATGAATATAGCAACCCCATATTACTTTTAATCAATGAAAAAAACAACTCACATTGCTTTGATAGCTGCGCCTGCATTTTTCTCTTCAATTTTTCTTTCAACGTCAAAGTTTCTCGTGACGGGCCCTGTAAAATAATTATGTTTGTATTACACATTCATTTGTTAAGTGGACAACATTTAGACGTTGACACTAGAGAATAAAATTTATTAAATTATTTACAATCTAACCGACTAACCGATAGTTTCTTGTAACCTATTTAATTTGCACGGAATTTACGGAGACATAACGCCGAAAGCGTGGAGAAATGTATACGTCAACGCCTAATTGTGCAACATTCTAGTCAGATTTACCTTCTAAGCCACGTCATACGCTAATTTTAAGAGTCATTCCGAATCTCTATCACACGCGTACTTGATTACTTAACAAAGTTTCGTTCATTCTAATATTATGTACAATAATTCTGTAAATTAATATTGTGGTGAGAAAATAAATCATTTATTATTATTATTTAAGTTACGATCTGAATCCAGAAACAGAGTATGAAACCAATCCATATTCAGTAAGGTAAGAGACAGAGTGACAGAATAACCTGATAACACTTCACCACTACTTTGAAAAAAGTTTTTATACCACTAAAATACGACGGATACTATACATATATATGATGAATACATAACTCGTCTACGACTTGCCGACGATATGTTCAATAGTCATGAACAAATCATTGGAAGACCTTTAAGCACTGTGTGCAACAACCTTAATAGCATCATAACAGGTAAACCGTTAGGGGACTAAAATGGACATGGGCAAAACAAAGTTTTTGAAAAACGCTAATGTCAAAATTGTTGACGAGTGTATGTATACCTGAAAATGAACAGTGTTGTGCAGAAATACTTCAACCCAAAAAAAAACTAAGTTATACGAATTTGAAAGATAAATGCATTTTTTTTAAGAAAATGTTTTAAAGAAATTGAATTAAGATTTTTTATTGTTGTTTTCCAGAAGTCTATTCCATAGTTATTATTTTGTTCAGTTTGTGCGTTTGATCATTTTGCACAATACGGCCTGTATTAATACAGCCAGTATCTGGTTCCAACGATGCTCTATGATACCAAGACATAGACCTTCAAAGATGCTGGTGTTGGAAGAAGCTTAGTCGCTTAACAACCTATGGATAGGGTACACTTTGAGCTACTTTGGGTGGCAAAATCGTTAACAAAGGGCAATTTAACCTCGCAGATCAGCATGCTAACTTAGCAATAAACCGTATATTATAGTACGAAGAACCGACAACCGATAGAAAAGATAAATTCCCGAGTGCCAGCTTTGTACTGGCAAGCACAGCTTGAGTGCTTTTAAGTTTCAGTTTGTGGTTTCACTAGACGGAGTCACTATTTGGTAAGAGGTGCGGGAAGTCAATAGATGGCTGAGATTTATGGTATTTATGGGGAAGGCCAATGTTCAGCAATGGTCTTTAATGACGTAATGATGAAATTATTATCATTATATTATTAGAAGATACATAATACACAACAAGTTATAGAAAATAAATACAATATTAAAACTAAAATTGTCTTAGGTATTTTAATGTGTATGTAATACTTTAACATGATACTTTGAATTTAGTTCATTTCAGGTAATAAATGTTAGAAAAAAACAATACAGCTGTGACAAAAAGCTAAGCTTCTTTATATGAAGTTATTATAATTATGAATTTATTGATGAACACACATAACAAACTCGTTTTCAGTCTTCGTTCGATCGTACCGAAAACTACAGGTTTAAAGGGAATAAGGTGCTAAAAACGAAAGCATACAAGTGTAAAAGCAAATGATTCTTACTGACTTTGGTGCTGGATCCAGACAATCGTAACTGATTCTGGTTTGTATTTGAGTTATTGCCCACTGATGTTCTGAAAAAGAAACAATATTCAAATAGGTTACAAAGCTATCTCAATTACACATCTCATTTAAACTTTGAATACTGATATAAAGTTACTTCATACACATATCCCACCCATGTGGAGTTGTTACGTAATATGACATTTTTGAAGCCGGTTACAGGAAATACAATAAAACTGCATTTTGATTATGGTTGCTATCAGTATGTTTCAGATATGGAGATAGTTATAATATATAAATTTTGTGGTTTAAAGAACTTTGTAATTTAAAAGTTATAGAATACTTTTAAATTATATAAAAATGAATTACCATATAATTTTGATATGGCTTTTGTTTAACTTTTCTAAACATTTATTGCAGATTCAGTATGCAACTACGGGCACATTATGATAACGTGACATACAAAACGCATAGAATAAAATGATACCTCGAATACAGAAACACAACTTAAATCTGTCACTTAATTAAAGTTCTTCTAAATTTTTAAATTCACTGAAGTACACAAATATCACTCATTTGATTTGAGGTTTGTTAAGCTGACCAGCCCTCAAATCTTTATGAAATGGTAACATTTATTTTAAAAAGAGTGTTGTCATTGACTACATTACCATATTTGACTTTAAATAGGTTTTATATAGTATCACCTGAATACATAGAAATAATTAAATTTGATTTGCTTTGAAATTATATTCCAAAATAATTCCCGGTGATATTGACCCAGAAAGAAACAAGAATGTTGTCAGTTATATCAATCGTATTCCAGGCCAGCAGTGGACTTGTAAAAGCTTTTTACTTACTTAATAACACCTACTACCAATTTAGTCAAATTATCAGTTATTTAATTATTATCAATAATTTACACAGTGTACACTGTGATATTATAATAGCATACTTTTCGGATTATTTTTGATTATTATTCATTATTTGTTGTAAATAAATGATTTTAAAATAAAAAAAATACTTGACTAGAAAATTATGTATATTAACACTTAGGGAGTCGCGTCCTAATTTGTAGCACAAGCACCATGTCAACTGGACCCAGTGTAATGCTTTGCAGGCGTAAATGGTTACTTTCTAATAAGGATTCGGTATGTGTAAAGTTTTTACTTTACACATACTGAATTCTTATTACAATTTTTTTTTAATTTGGTTTTTACTTAAAAAAAGCTGTTACAAAAATTTACTAAATTTCTCAATATTTTTGTGACATGTTTTAGGCTAATCGGTATCATTTGTGTAATTACTTATTTCAAACAAAATCTTTATTTTCTTACAAAATAATGTACTTATACGAAATAAAGAGGGATCGCAGAAATATTAAAAAAAATCAAAAATGCAATATTTTCTTTGAAGTAAAATCACACTTTCCAACATTCTACTGACAATTTTTAAACTAACTGACCATCAACGCCGTTATTTGATGTGCTACACTATCGTTGAAAGGTACTAACAGCAGCAACATTTGAAAACGTCGAATTTTAATAGTTAATATGCAAAATATTAAAGACCTGTTGGACCCATTAGCGACTCCTGAAGTGTTAATGATGTTCTGACAATACAATTATGATTAGATTAAAACTATGTTGTATCACAATTTCATCCTCTACAGTAGCCAAAGAAATCAAAATAAAGAATATTCTCCTCAATAACTCTATCCTGCCTAGAAACTGGAATATTGTGGAGCATTGCGTATGCATTTTAACGAAAATATAACATTATGTTGCATAAATCTACATACTACTCGGATTCCTTCACAGTATCATAAATTACACTCTGGAATAACCTTCCACGAGATTTAAAAGATGCTCCTTCAATAAATACATTTAAACGTAAGCTTGAGGCATATTATTTAAAATTACTTGATTAATTTTATTGATTATGTTTATTATAATTTCGTATACTATATTGTATGCTTTATTGGTTTAGTATATATACAACATGTAACATAATTAACGCACACCCTCAGACACCCCAATTAGTATATTATTTTTAGTATATATACAACATGTAACATAATTAACGCACACCCTCAGACACCCCAATTAGTATATTATTTTATAATCATAATACATACACTGAATTTTTAGTTAAAAATTTTTATGCACTGATTATTTATCAAACTAGTTATACTAATTCCGGAAGAATGTTGTGGTCACAGTACAAATTCACGAACGCAAAGACTTTAACGTGCTTGAAATAAAGTTCATTTTTCTTTATTTTTATTGAATGACAGAATTAGTAATAATACAAATAAAACTGCACTCTTAAAAGTCTTATTGCCTTAAGTTACGGTCCATTTCAATTTGTTTTGACTGTAAAGATTTAGTATGACTGTAATTTACCTAGTTTTAATTATTTTTGGGATAAAAAATTACCTATATTTAAAATGATAGGAGTCGATTCAGTAAACGATTCTGAACAAACTACTTTCCCAAAGTGCGTTAATTATGTTACATGTTGTATATATATATATATATATATATATATATATATATATATATATATATATATATATATAGTGTGTGTATATATGTATAAACTAACATATATACATAATATTATATAATACGTTTTGAATAGTATGAATAAATAAGTTAGTTTTTCCTCTCGCGGCTCTACCCATAGCTCTCACCACACTACAAAAGGTTAGCTTGCAGAGAATGCCTTTTCAGCATTAAATTAACCTTTGTACCAAATTGTTTTGTTTGAGTGCAATAAAGAATTTTCTATCGATCTATCTATCTATGTTGTCACAACATAAAATCAATGACAATTTAAATAAAAATACAAATGTAACATCGGGAAAAGTTTCTTCGTATTTTATTTACAAATTCAAGACATTTTTTTCGAACTTTAATTACATTTAATTATAATATATATGTGCCATTTTGTTCGACAACTTGTTGCCATCTTGTAGGTAGTGACATAATTCCGTATCTTTAGAAATCTTGGGATTTTTGACCAAAAAATGCGACAAATAGTTTTGACAGTCCTGTCTTGACGTTAACCTAACACTACCCACCGAATTCTGAAGAGATCAAAACAAGTGAAAATTTGAGGTTGCAAGGTCAAAACTATATGCAATAACACTTCTAAACCAAGCTCTCTCAATTTTTGCTGAGTGGCTAAATATGTGCGGGGTCTGGCGTTATCATGATGAAAGACCACTCTTTTTCTGTTGATTAATTCTGGCAGTTTTTCCTCAATTTCATGCTTGAGTCTCTTTAGTTGTTGGCAGTAGAGATACGAATTGATGATTTTGCCTGGCGGTAAAAATTCATAATAAACGATGCCCTTCCAATCCTACCATACACACAGCATAACCTTATTGTTTCGCTATAGTGTGTGGAGCTTGACTGCCCTTTGAACATGATCTTTTTCGCACGTTTGTCGTAGGTGATCCACTTTTCATCACCAGTGATCAATCTTTTCAAAAATGGTTCGGTTTCATTACGCTTCAATAGAGAATCGCAAATGAACAAGATTCATTTGGTTTCTTTCTGTGAGCTTGTGTGGTACCCAAATATCGAGCTTTTTTTTATAGCCAGACTTTTTCAAATGGGTTAGAAACTGCTTTATGTTTAACACCACAATTCCTCGGCTATGTCGTTACTACTAATGTACCGATCTTACTCCTTTTTCAAAAATGTGATCGACTTTATCCATATATTGGCAACCAGAGCGAGCTGCATCTTTGACTTCAAAATTTCCGGACTGAAAACGCTTGAACTAACTTTGTGCTACTCTGATTATTATATATATTTGGTTCTGATTCTGCATTCGGTCCATAAACGATAAAAAAATTTTCGCGGCTTGTATCCCATCTTTCCCTTTTTTTGTAATAAAACTTCAGAATGCATCAAATTTCTTCATTAGTTCACTCATTTTTACGGACAGAAAAACAATTGAAAAATGACGGGACTGTTTTTTTACTTTTTATTTTTCTTTATCTTAATGTCCTATATGTATGTATTGATATTAAAACCAGCCAGATACAAACAGTATAACCAAAGAGATTTTTCTTCAATTTTTTATACAAAAAAAATACGAAGAAACTTTTCCCCAGCCAATTATGTTAAACATATTTTAATTTAATTTCTACACATCTTAAACATTGCACTTACAAGTTAGCCCACAATGCAAAGTGAGCTATCCATTTGACTGTCCTATGCTTTTATCTTGGACGCATAGTTAATGAAAATATAATGTAAAGATATTGTGGGGAATGTATGGAAATGGAAAGTAATGAAAATTAAATTGTTTTCGAAGAATTTCACAATGAAATTACTACTGATAACATTTAATACCTATTGTAGATGGGCCAAACTGAAAGTAAAGGTACTCCGGAGGTGAGAAATATGTGTCAGGATCGTGTCAAATGCAAGTTCGTAGTCTCTGCCAAACCCTCTTGGTGATAGACGTGAGTGTTTTTGTGTGTATATATGTAGTATAATTCATTTCAAAAGAAGGTGGTAATGGCAATGACATACATGTCTTAGAATTATATACCTAAGAATAAAACTGAAAGCACTTGGTATATTTTATTTTAATGTCTTAAAATAAAAGATACGGGTTATATCAGACACAAATACTACAACCAGTCTGAAACAAATATTTTATAACAAACAAAAGTGAAGATTAACTTTCGTAATCATCATATAATCGTATTTCATATACATTAGAAAAGAGAGAACATAACAAGTAAAAACAATGTTTTTTTTTAAGTATAGTAGTGCACTTAGGAAAGTTGTTAATGTAAATAGAAATGGACTTACTTATTTTTCTCATCCTCAGCCGTATCACTTGAGTCGGAGTCCACGGACAGTTCACTTGAGGACTTATCTTCTTTGCGACGGCCATAGTAACGCGGCACGACTGGTTTGTTTTGGGTGCTTTTATCATTACTACAAAAGCAAAATAATTCGTTTATTACATTAATAAGTCTATGGTAGAAACAGAAGAGGTATGTTTTTTACTTTGTTTACCACACCATATAACAACACACAAAGAACATTTGAAACTTACCTACTGCAAATGTTATTTTTTTATAAAATAATACTAGCTCACCTTTCGCGCGACATTGACCTCGAATTGTTACGATTTGTTGGATTACTGTAAAAAGTTATATTCTTTTAATAACTACATACATTTCAAAACAATACCAGTAATAGAACGAAAACAATCAAGCACAAACTTTGAAGGGCTGCGAGAGCGCCTATTTTTTAAAGTTCTTGGCCTTGATCGTGATCTCGACTTTGACTTCCTATAAGGGTTGTATGAGCGCGAGCGCGACCTTGAAGAAACCGAACGAGATCTAGGAGACTTCGATCTTGAGCGGGATTTCTTCCAAGATCGCGATCTAGACCTCGATCTTGATCTTGAACGGGAACGGGAATACGACCTCGATTTTGACCTCGAGTTGGGCCCGCGAGGTCCCATTTGAGGACGGGAATATCTGCCTTGTATTGATGTTGAACTGTAAAATAATATAATTATTTGATAAAATTATAAAGATTTTTTTTTAAATATTTAATGATAAAATGTTAACAAAAGTAATAAAAATTTCTATATAAAAATATCAATTGTTTTCCGTTAGTATCGCTAAAACTCAACAACGGCTCGACCGATATTGATGAATTTTTTTGTGTTTGGGGGAAGGGTAGGTAGGTACGAAGCCGAGGCGGATCGCTTGCATAGTTTTATTCAATGACAAAATTTTGTTAAACTGTTTAACATTTGTGGTATTAAAGCCCTTTACTAGTCCAGTGCTGAATGTGGGCCTCCCCCAAGGAATGCCACAGGGCACGGCCCTGAGTCGCATGCGTCCGTCGACTTCTTGCATGTCTTACCAGGTCATCCCTCTATCTAGTGGGACTCCCCCTACACAAAAATAAATAAATAGTAAATCAACACAATTATAATATGAAAAGAAATTTATACTTTGAACCATTTAATATAAACATTTCTTAATTGGATTGTTTATCCTTTATGGCTTTAGTGGCGAAAAGTTGATTTAAGATAGAAAAATAAATAAATAAACAGGTGTGATATTTCATTATATTGAAACATTTGGCAGAGAAATAAATAATATAAATATGATAGAAATATTACATCCTCATATACATAAACAAAAGTATAATTAGTACAAACTTAGACCATTTAACCCAATGGACTCGCCTCGCATGATTATTCCCCTCTGCGCAAGTATTGGATTTAAAACTCTTGTGCGTTTATAAAAACTGTTCACGGAATCGATTTCGTCATTACAAGAATCGTTTTCGTAGTTGTAGATACTCTTTAAAAATGCTAATTTGTGTGGTTAACGTGTGCAAAAAGGAGTCTAATACTTCAAATTTACAAAAAGATGGAGTTACATTCCATATGTAAGTATTTTTACTGTGATATATGCTTTCTTTCTATTATAATCATTTAAAATAATATCATAAATAATAATCGAGAACTTTACCAATAAGATAATCGAGTACATAATATTTCATAAACATCGTAGTGTGATAATCGAAATGTGACAGGCACATTCCCTACGAGTTTAGTTATATGTTCATTTTTTTAAAGTCAACCCTTAGATGTTACAAATTAGGTTTAAAAATGAACACGTAAGCACAACGACACTTCTTACGAGACTAGTTTATGTAAGCAACATATAAACAATAAAAGTGTAACGAGACTACTTAAACCCGCAGCGGTCGCGCCTTATAAATAACGTAAATGGTCGCGTGGATTACGTATGTAGTCCAATTTAAAATAAAAAGAAAGCTTTAAAATATTAATTAAAATGTATTTTTATTTTATTATACTTAGTAGACAGAACTTATGACCAAGTTCTGTCAAAACCTTATTATTTAAAAATTTTGAATACTGGCTAGATGAACTTCACCAATTTTAAAAATATAACGTTTGCGCTTGCCGAAAATAAAAAAGACATTAATTTTCATTCATATTTAAATATGGAGTGGTCTAAGAAAAAAGATAGAGTAGCGGTTACGCGCCAAAAGAGATTTTCAATATTCTACAAAAATTGAAAACAACCCTACGATTTGTTTATCGCACTATCAAACGATTAACTGAAGATTCAAGCTTCAAAAATCGAAAGAGGACCGGCTGACCTCGTACAGTTAGGACACCCGCGATCATCAAAGCAGTAAAGGCGCGAATCCAACGAAATCCTGTTTGTAAACAAAAAATCTTAGCTCTTCAGATGGGCCTAAGCAGAACCATGGTCAAAAGAGTGATCAATGAAGACCTAAGACTACGAGCTTATAGTAAAAAAACAGACATTTTTAAACGAGCGTTAGAAAAAAATTAGGCTGGATATATCCCGCGCTTTGTTACGGCGATACGCGGGAAAAAAATACCGCGAAATTTTTTCGGATGAATAAATTTTTGTGTTGGAGATTTAGATTTGTGTGTGCTGTAATAACACAAAAATTTATTGAGTAGGTGTGCAGTACTGCCTATGTAATGGTTTTCCCCCGCACCAAAAATGACAGAACTTTTTGTTCGTAGCATTAGGCGCATTACTCGTCCATTGGGTTGAATGGTCTAAGAATAAATAATAAATACATATATAATAGTTAAATAGTACCGTCCATAATATATTTTGTTTATATAACTGAAAAAACTTTAATAGACCTTACATTTAAGTTTATTTTAAATCTTTACAATTGTTAAATCGCTGTTGGTTTTTTTTAATAAATAAGTAAATAAATAAATTTTTAATACAGTTGCGCAAAAAGTGGCGTATTGCGGGGACGTATAGCGTTCGCGATGTGGGCTATTACATACTCGAGCTTTTTCTTTACCCTTTCCGAACTCGTGCGTTCTCTTTCCCACTGTCAAAATAATGTCTATTAAAAAGAAATAGCCAACCACGAAGTTATCACTAAAAATATAATCATAGAAGTTTTTATGATTCATGCAAATATTTCTAAAAAGAAGCTACTAATTTGTTTCAATATCAGATTTAATTATTTGATTCAATGAGTTGGTTTCATTTCATTTCACCTCATTAAATTTCATTTTCATTTCATATCAATAAAAAAATTCTACTGAAGACTTGGCTGTATGGGCATAGTTCCCATTGCCTACCCAGAATGGGTGAAGAAAACAAAAAAAAATATCTGCTTATATTGTTGCGCGCCTAAGTTGACGTAATGTACCCGGAACTAGCGCCATCTAGTGTCGGGGACGAGAGTGAGGGGAGCTTTCCAGAAAATGACATCAATAATCTTTCAACCGACAGCGCCATCTAGTATCGAAACGAAGAACTAAGCTTCTAGAAGCCCGACACGAACTTTCGATGCTTAGTCGATTGGCGCGCGTATTTACTTGAATATTCTGGATTTTTCGGTGCTAACGTGTATTTATAGGCGCTGCAAGGTGCGATCGGGGAAGTATTGAATTCGGCGAGACAAGCGAAGCTTCGGAGCGAAATAAAGTGAATCAGTGTGATTAATTTTTAGTGTTTTTGCTTCATTTTTTCGCAACTGTATTAAAAATAGTTTGTTGTTCCGACTGTCAACCTTCACTATACTATACTATACGAAATATACTATTCTTTCGGGAGGCCTACTAACTTGTAAAGCTTGTAATGGATGGATGAATAGAAGAGACAACATAGCAATAAAATTACATTGTACGGTAAACTTCCGGAAAATGCTTTTATTGATAAAGTGTGGTAATACTTGCATTGCATGTATTCTCAAGAATATTAATTTTATGCATTTAAAGATCACCCAATCGATTGTATCAGAATGCTCCTAACTCCATTATCCTATCAATTAAAAAGACCTCATCGTTATGATGACAGGTTGGGCGGGGGTTAGTCTACTCCTAACTTGTTGATATTATAAATAGGACTAGTTAACCACTACCAGTTTGGCGTATGGAACGCCCCAAATTCAAACTTAGTATGAATTTGGGTAGATACACCTCTATCTTCCAGGCAGAAATTTTCGCTATACTTCGGTGTGCGGAAATAAATCTGCAAAAACACTACGTCTACCATATAATTTACATAAACTCTGATAGTCAAGCAGCACTGCTAGTGCCGAGGTCAAACTTAGTGAACTCGAAGCTAGTTGGAGACTGCGTGAACCGTTTAAACGCCCTGGGATGTAACAGCAGGATCGTTTTAAGATGGGTTCCGGGTCACGAGGGTATTGTAGGCAACGAATTTTCCGACAAACTTTCAAGGGAGGGCTCAAAGTGCACACAATTTGGACCCGAGCCATTTTGTGGAATCGCAAGAAGCCTTTGGTTCATAAAAGATAGCTTGATCTCTGCGACAGCTGTAAGTAAAAATCACGCCTATGAAGTCCTGAATTTCTTAGTAGAACAGACAGTACCTGTCAATGTCATATTTTATGGGCTTATACTTACAGCTGTCGCAGAGATCAAGCTATCTTTTACGAACTATAGTCCGATTGACCCTTGAAACTCTTTATCACAATAAATCACTTAAGATTTGGTCCTGACACACCAGGATTAAAACATTCTAAAACTTTAATCCGGGCTTTTGATCATAAATTCGCTTCAGAAGCCCTGGGATTAAGTAAAAATAAATTTCGCATTCTGGCAACAGCCCTAACTGGACACTGTTGTCTTAAAAAGCACATGTCCATCCTGGGACTAAGCAACTCAAGGATGGGTCGGTTCTGTTCCATAACGGAAGAAACGCCTCTACACTACACATCCTAACTGATTGCGGACCCTTAATGCGCAAACGTAACACTCATCTGGGAAACTATGTACTCCGCCCAGAAGTGAAATTGCTCACGGCTAAGCAACTCCTTCTATTCATTGAAGACATAGGGCTTAGCCGTGAAATATAGCCATAGCAGCGATCACACTAGATATGACGACAGGTACATATATTACAATCAAAGTTGGTATGATTATAAAACATGGTTTATTGCTGGTTTAAGCTATGCTTTAAAAAATCCCTTAGCCGCGCTACTATCTGCGCAAAATTTGACATTTGCTGTCAAGTTTCATACTTTACATTTTAGGTCGCATATTTTCCGCGGAACTTCTTGATAAAAACATGCCCTAGTTTAAGCATGAGACTTAAGTACTTTTTGTAATACTACAGAATAAGTTTAGCAGAAGGACATTTAAGAATTTTTAAACTACTTTTAATCATATAATTTTGTTTCACTCTTACCTGAATTTTGATGGTTTTCGAGCAACCTCTGCATATAATTCGGTCTTCTTTAAATTATGTTTTACTTTATCAGCATATAAAACTTTCTGAGATGGTGCTGTGAAGAAAAACATTAATAAATAAAAAATACATTATAAGCCTTTATAGACTGTCCAATTGCAGGGCATGGGCCTTTTTCATAGTATAAATAGTAAAATATTATTATTTCATAACTATCAAGAAACCTTTTTGAGTTCCACCATCTATAAGCCATCATCAAGATTTTCAAACAGGATTACATCTTAAGATAAGTGACTTACAATGATTTCCAAAATAATTTGACACTAGTTAAATGAAATACTGTTTTAAAGTTATAACTCGAACATTTACATAGCAATTTCATTAGAATATAGTGTAATGACGTCATAGTTTTTAATCAAATTATTTATCATATTATTTGAATATATTTAATTTTTAAAAATTAAATTTTATTTAAAATGGAAAATTAACCAAGTTTTAATCCACTACTAAGTAGCAAATTCAAATTACATGATGTTATTATTATCAATGGTGATATCAATTACCTAATAAATTATTTTTTCTTCTATTCTCATTTTTACAGAACTCATTTTATAACTTATTTTTACAGAATCTATCACCAACAATAAATTAAATTAGTTAAACTAATTAAATGTATCTCTAGAGCATGTTTTACAAACTACACAAAGTTATACAGGTTAACAAGACTTATCATACAACTGATGAAAATTCGGTGATTACTAATTCAATAGACTATTTGCTATATTTTATAAATTAAGTATTACATCTTGTTTGATGGGTGTCTGATAACGGTGGTATAATTAACTGTACAATTTAATTAATTTTAGAAGGGTTACTAGTTTTTAAAATAATAGGGAATTACACCCATGTTCAAAAAGTGTTTTAAGTGAATCCTAGAGTGATAATGAACCACTATAATTTTTATATAAAATTTTTAAAACCTAGTAGTGTACCTAAATTTTTAAAACATAATAAAACTTTTAATATATCGTTTTAAATTTTCGAGTGAAAACGCTAGCCGCCATGCTGTTCTACTCGTGACGTCACTGTCCTAAAATTTTGCCGATTTTGCAAAGGAATAAGAAACTTTTTAATGTTTGATAATGAGTTATCATCTATATCATTGATGTGGTATGCCTGAATGCAAAAATATGAGCATAAGAACCCGGACAAGTTATGAATTAAAATGCCAACTAATTTAAATATAAGAAATACACGGTTAAAACTGGCAAAGAGATACCCGAATACATTGTCTACAAAAACTAGTCTATTCTTCTGTGAAGATCATTTAGATGTAAGTACGACTTATATTTAACCGTCGTTTATACAAAACAAAATATCATGAGACGAAGGGATCGCAAGTCAAATTTTGTAATGAATTAAGTTAACTTAGATATTATAACTAATGTTTGCTGTATAATTATAAATAAACTAAACTATGATAGCTGCTAAACTATGCTTATCAAAATACACTCTGACTTGGTATTGTGTTTTTGTACAAAAAAAAGTTGGTAATAGGTACTTATATTGATGTTTTAACATTCCTCAACTCAGCAGAACAAAAATTGGGATTGCATGCAAAATTTTGCCACCATCAGTTTATTTATCCTTGGTAGATTAGTACTTTCTGCTTTTACAAATTCGTCTTCCATCATGCCTTTTCAATAAAATGCGGAATAAAACTCAATAATCGTAATGATAACTTGAAAAATCAGTGACGCAGAACACTAATACCCCTTATGTGGGATCAGTGACGTCACGACTGTCTCTAATATGGCGGACAGCGTTTTGCAGATTTGAGGCACAGACGAAAAAAAATATTCTTAAAATTGAAATATAAAATTTATAATGCAATTTTATAAATAGAAATCAATATTTCTCGTTTACCTTTTACAAAATCTGTCATATATTTTTTTATATGGTGTGAAATACCCTATAAATTTATTAAAAAAAAAAACCTATGGACATGGTAGTGATGGACATAGATTGTATCATATTAAATGTTTACTCTAATATCATTAGGGAGATAGAATAAGGAATACGTTTATATGGACTAACCGCCGCCACAGAATAAAGCAAGAGTCGATATTTCATAGCTAAATCTAGCAATAATTATCATAGAGAATCATTTCTTGCAGACAGAAGATCAGCTTGTTATAAAAAAATCCTTCGTTGCTATACATCTACGCTCACCTTTTTACCAACCAACAGGCATGGATAGCAAAAAATCGTTTATTACAGACAAATATTTCTAGCAAACTGAAATCAAAGCGGCTTTTTTGTGCAGTAGTATTGCAAAACACGCCCTAAAGACGCGGCTTAAGATATTCATTCGTTGACTCACAAGGTTTGACGTCATCTTCGTCACCACCAAATGAAGTGATGAATTGTATGTTCTCGTTATCGGGCGATGGACTGCGGCTTGGAGAGCGTGTCGCCGAACGCGACGCTGAGCGTGGCCGACACGACGGTGCCGCATAACTTGGAGGGCTTACTATTCGAGTGGCCAGTTTCTTATCTCTAAAAAAATCGTCGCAAAATTTTAGTCTTTATGTGCCACACATTGACTATATTATCACTTAACGTAATGTGTTGGATACATTAATACTTGGATTGGTCTTGGAAGAGACTTGGATTACAGCTGCAGTACAGATGTGTTGGCTAGAGAGCAGGAAGACCACGCTCTAACAAAATACCAGCGTGGAATAGCAGTTATTGCGTTTATGGGGAGTTTCGAGACTCAGACACTTAAGTGGTAACAAAGCATTACACTTTGGTCTTCAAGAGGACTACACATCTGCATTATGATTCTTAATCCAGGATAATTTTAGATTATCTATGGACCACAGAATCAGTTCGACTGTCGACCGTCAGTTTAACTGTGTGCTCATTTTATGCTTTTACTTCTATAAAAATGATATTAATTTAAAAAAAATGTAAAGAGAACACACTGATCATGAACTGTGATCATTTTAGTAAGAATGCTACGTTATAGTCATAAATTAATTGTACCGCCATCAATCATTAGTACTTTTTTATAAACAGACCGACATTTACATCTATCTTCGATTAAGAATCAAAATGCAGATGCGTTGGCATTCCTGAGGACTAAGGTAGAATTCGTCGTTTCCAGTAAAAAGGGTCTCCGGTTCTCTACACTCACTAAACGAAACAGCAGCGTTGAGCTGCTTTTTTACGCAATTACTGTTGTACAATTTCAGAATAACATACATACATGCAACTCAAGCTAATTGAAGTGGGTTATAAGAGATTTTGTAGGTTATCAATACTATTTTTTTTCATATAATAATTATCTGTTTAAAGAGCTGGAAAAAGAACACACACACAGTCCAAAAAGCAGTAAACTTATAGAATGGTACTTACCGATGTGCGCGTCTCTCCCTCCTACTTTTCCTTCCAGAAAACATCGCCTTCTCTTTCTCTTCTCTCAGAAGTTGTTTCTGATGTTCAGCGTCATCTGCATCACCGGTGAGAAAGGAGAACAAATCGCATCCTGCCATTCCAAATAGAGGTCCCACTGCATTCAACTCGTGTGCCTGCACTCCGCAGAAATATATGATGAAGATATCTTAGAAAACTACTTGATATCATTATTGTTATGTTGTGCTTAAGCAGTAAACAAGTAGCAAATAGAAAATCTGTTTGCAATACGTAAAATCCTAGTAGTCAAGTAGTCAATTCACAATTTATAATAACAAAAGAAATAGTCTTATTAAATATGGGACAAGACCAATTTGGTTTCGACCCCGCCAGTTCCAATGACACTGTGACAGGAAAACTGACGCTTTCCTTCTTGACAATTGAAGAAACTTACTTATCTGGAGAATAAAATATTTTAGGGCATGTGTTATCCGCGACCACGCACTGGAGCAATGTGGCAGACTTATTGTGCCACAACCCTCTCAGAAATGAGATAAGTACTAACTTTTAACTTTTAAAGCAATATCATATATGCTAAGTGCATTCGTTAATTTTAACAAAACTGTTTTACTGCACTGTATCTATAACCAAAACCTATCATTACCACACACACATATTTTAAACTAAACTTGTTACTAAATTTGTATTATAAAATTAAATGAAATACTGTTAACCAGCACAAAAAGTAGCCATGGAAGGAGGAAAAGTAGGGAAGGATTCCACCATACTACTCAAGTGCGGCAATTCAATTAAATGTTTATTTTTAGACGTAATAAATTAAAATTCTCTTAGTATAGGTCAACATATTTTCAAACAGATTCGACGAAAGAAATTCCGCACATATTCTTATCATTTTTTTAAATGATAAAGATATGATTTAAAAAGTTTACATTTGAAGAAATATTTCGAGTGAAACAGAAGATAACGTTCTTTGCAATATTATAGTATAATAGGCTATTTTTGTATTATTTAGTTAAGTACATACACATAAACACTCACGCCTGTCACCCAGAGGGGTAGGCAGAGACTACAGACTTCCATTTGGCACGATTCTGACACACCTCTCTCGCCTCCTTCACATCCATACACCTACGCATACATGCTCGTCGGTTAAGGGTACTCCTAATTTGGCCCGTTTTCAATAAATCGCCAATTTGGTTTGACAAGGTTTACAATGCACTTTTAAGCTGAAAATATTGTGTGTAATTTTATGGAACTAAATTACATGTTTGACTTAAATATGTGATCTAACCATTAGGTAGGAGGTACTATGCGCTCCGTCATTAATCGTTATTGCCTCCAACAAGCAGTCATTAATAACCACTTGTGATCGTTCATTTAGCAAGTGCTTTATCCAAGCGATATCTACATTTAATTAAAAATCAACCACTGATCGGTATGTGGTGGTGTAAAAGAATTTTCATATACTCAACACAATCAGTTAAAATGGTGGGTTGGGCGGTTTACGAGCATAGAACTGATATTCTCGTATTAGTAAAATCTTATCAACAGTCTATTAGATTTGGTTTCGATATTTAGAAACGAATATGCCGCCATTTCGTGGTCGTAAGACGCCCGATAGTCGTACATATCACTTTTAAATGATGCTGCATCTAGAGCATGACTTTTTTTATATATAAGTCAACTTTAGGGAAAATTTTTACTGTTTTGTTTTCAAAACAATGCTGTTCGAATTTAATTATTTTCTAATCAATATTTTACAAATATACATACATACATATACATAAACACTCACGCCTGTCACCCAGAGGGGTAGGCAGAGACTACAGACTTCCATTTGGCACGATCCTGACACACCTCTCTCGCCTCCTTCACATCCATACACCTACGCATACATGCTCTCGGTTAAGGGTACTCCTAATTTGGCCCGTTTTCAATAAATCGCCAATTTGGTCGATAAATTTTCGCCTAGGACGTCCCTTTCCGACTCTGCCGTTTACTTCTGCAACATTAATTTTCTTTGTCACTCTTTCCTCATTCATTCTTTCCACATGACCAAACCACCGAAGCATTCCTTTCTTAATCCTGGTCACAACATCATCTTGCAAACCACACTCTTATTACACAATTTCTTACCCTGTCGTTCAGATTCAGCCCTAACATACTCCTTAAGGACCGCATTTCTACTGCGTTGATTCTACTCTCGTGCTTCTTCTACCACACCCAACTTTCACTACCATACGTTAAAGTAGGGACCAACACAGCATTGTGAATTGCCATACGTGCCTTTTTTGACACATTTTGACTCTTCACAATAGAGTGCAGGGCCCCATTTACTCTATTTCCCGCTTTCACTCGTTGTTCTATATCCTTATCATATCTCCCATCCCTGCTAAATACGCAGCCCAAATATACAAACTCATCTACTTGCTCGATCAACTCCCCTTCTATTCTTATTTCACAAATCGTTTTACTTTCTTCTCTTTCAAAAACCATAACCTTCGTCTTACTTGCGTTCACTTTCATACCCCTTTCTTTTAATGATCTGTTCATTAATGTAACCATCACTTGCAACTAGGACGCCGACGACGCAAGGATAACTTGATCATCGGCGTACAAAAGGCATTTGACGGTTAACTCACCCCTTCTTAATCCGCATTCTTCAACTTTCAAATTTTGCAAACAACTGTCCATAAATAGGTTGAACAGCCACGGGGAAGCCACACAGCCCTGTCTGACACCTTTATGGATGTCAAACCAGTCCGAGTAGACCTCGTTGATCCTAACACAAGCACTAGAGTCCCTATAAAGAGACTCCAATGCCTGTATCAAGCCAGCGCTCAACCCAAATGAGTTCAGTGTTTGCCATAGCACATCCCTATCCACTCTGTCATAGGCCTTTTCCAAGTCCATGAACGCACAAAAAATATTCCTTCCATCTCTTTAAACTCAAAACTTCATCTTTCAGAATATAGCCATTCTCGTCTCTTATAACATTCATCATAGGCTGTTTTGAATGTCCCCTGGCAGTTCTTACAAGTTTCCAGAACATTTTAATATTTGCCTGGAAGTTATCCGATATTCTTCTATCATTCTTATCAGTTCTTTCTTGCTTTTTTCTTTAAACTACTTCTTTTACTCTCTTATTTAGACATTTAAACTCTGTCTTTCTTCTTTCAATATCATCATTCGTACCGCCAGAATTACCAGGCTTGATTGCTAGCAAATCTAGCCATGCTCTCTTCTTTGCTTCAACTTCCATACGTATCTCATCATCCCACCATAATGTATTATTTTTCCTCTCATTCTTCCTCTTACTAACACCACATACTTCGGCAGCTGCATCCACTAAACCTTTCTTTACATTTTGCCATACATTCTCCAAGTCTAACTCCTTCATACATAATTCATCCAAACCATTTATATTTTCTTTCAGTCTACATTTGAACTTGTTTCTCTCATTCATCTTGTAACCTTTCTGTTCTAATACGCTGTAACGCAGTGGTAGAAACAGATGATCGATGGCGCCAACGCCTGAATAGACCATTAATTCGGCATAAAACCAAATAATGATCCGTTCCTACGTTAGAACCTCGGTAAACCCTTGTATCTACCACTGCGCCCCTCAATCTTTCATCCACAATTATGAAATCTATCCTGCTTCTATCGTCACCTCTTTCCCAAGTATACATGTGAATCCTCTTGTGGCGAAAGCAAGTGTTCGTCACAAAAAGATTCTTTTCCATACATACGGTGAGGAGACTTTCACCATTCTCATTTATACTTTCATCACCAAACGTTCCCAATATCCTTTCATAACCAAGCCTCCTCACCCCAACCCTTTCATTAAAATATCCTAGCATAATAATATTTTTATTTCCCTTACACTTCATTAACACCATCCTTACCATTTCCCAAAACTGCTCACGGATATAAGTGGGCTTAGACATGTATGGGGCGTAGACCCCTAACACAAACAACTTCTTTAAGCCCACTTTCATTCGTATCCATAACAGTCTTGGGCTTACACATTCATACTCTTTCACACATTGGCCCATTCTTTCTGAAAGGATGATACCTACCCCCTGGCATGCCCGCTCGATCTCGTCTACACCAGACCAGTATGCAGTATACATGCCATGTATAGTGACATCCTTCCCCTTCCTTTTCGTCTCATTTACACATAACACATCTATTCCTTTATTTTATCATTCATTGCCCCACATACATTCAACATAGCCAGACGGGCCTCTGCAATCCACTTTTCGCCTCTCCGGGAGACAGAACGTGACGGGTGGCGAACCTCGTCGCCTGTTTTCCTCCCGGAGATTCTTCGCACCCCTGCCCCATTAAAGGGGCGCCGGGAACTCGGGAAGTACAGTGGTAAAGAAAACTTTATTAATTCAAACAACCAAACTCAAAAAGCATTGCTGTTTCCAACATAACACAGTAATTACGGCGGGCTCTTATATACTCCAACGCCCTCGAAGAAATGAGAGGCAGTTTTTGTTACTGATTCTTCCTTTTTTTATAAAAAAATATACTTAATAACCTTAAAGGTCCATTGTGCAAGACAGGCACGTGCGTTATGATCAAGTGCTCCAATAGTATGATCACGGAACGCGCACCAATTTTTTAGAAGTATACCGATTAGCGACAAAGCGCAACTGACACGCGTTGCAGCTGTTCGAGTGCAATGTTTAGTCATTCAACAAGGATGTTGGTCGTGTACGAGAAATCGTCGCTTTGATGATCAATTGCAGTATTTTACATGAGAATAACAGTAACAGATGTGCGGTGGTGGTTAAAATGATCATAGCACAAATGCAGTATGAAGTGAGATTCATGGAGGATATAAAATTTGAAGCTGTTGATGACACAATGAAAATCTGTCTTATCTTCATATTTTAATAACGTATTTTAATAGTTATATAAAGTACAGTTATTGTATTGTTGGTGAATGAAAAACCACTAGAATTCCTAAATTTTCTCTTGAATAAAAAATTCTTACATTTTATTTGTTTATTTAAAAATATTTAGTTTAAAAAGCATTAAAATATACACATCTTAACAACATACCTGTGAAGCCTCCATTTTATTCACATCTATACTCAAATCAACATCGATAATTTCCAGGTCGGAATCATCATCAGAATCTTTCACATCCACTTTCTTAACCTCAGGGCCTGGAATTTAATACTGAATGCCATAAAAATACCCATATACAGTATAAAATAACTATCCCAATAGGTACCCAAATATATCCTTTAAGCATCACATCACAGCAGATTGAGGTAAAAAAAAGTAGGGCTGAATCTACCATTAGAGCTAGACGGTTGGATGGATGGTGCTCCAGGATCATTATAATTGTAGCCTATAGCAGCACCAGTCCCTTTCTTTTCATTCAACTTCTCTTTTTGGAATTCTTTTTCATCAACTGTCACCCCAAACTGCTCTTCAATAGCCAACTGTTGTAAGAATTTGTCTTCACCTGGAAATAAATAAATAAGTTAAACTTCTCAATTATAAAAAAACCTCAAGCATAGATCAAAGTATGAGGTTTTACTATCTACCTAAAGATACAAAGGTATCTTTAAATAATTTGAAACTAAATTTGTTCATTCTACCAACTGTACAATAACATTATTGCATATTTTATAATGCAAATATTGCATCAGCTAAATTATTAAAAACTTAGTACATCATGAGGTGTTCAAGATAACTAGTGATAGTAGCTTGGTTCCTGAAAACTGGAGTTGGGGATCACGAGTAATTTTTATTTTACCCTTTTTTTAATAGAAACTGTTAATTTATCAAAACATTGACATATGACAACTATAAAGGGTTAATATCACCATTGAGGAAGTATCCAGATATTAAAAATACTGAGCACAAAGAAGGATACTGATGTTACTTTATTGTACCTTTATATCAGATTTCAAACCTTCGTCAGATTTTTAACAAATCAATTCATGGCGGAAATTTCCCAGAAATGTGAAAACATACTAGAATAGTGCCATTCTAAAAAAATTGTGAGAATATTGCCAATAACAGGTCAATGTCGATATTACTAGCTTTGTCGAAGGTTCTCGAGTCTCTGTTACACTCAACATTTTTACAATCAAAATTACCTTTGGTAGGATAAATAACAAACCTTTTTTCTTTGGGAAGAGGATCATTCCAATAGTGTTTCTAATTGTGTCTAGTTGACAGAACTTTATATGTAGCAATTAAGGGCTATTCGGGAGTTACCTATAGATCCATAGTGGGATATATTATTCAAAAGTTAATGTTCAAATTTGCTGGTTGCACTGGTTCTCATACTGAATAGTCTACATGCTATTGCTACATGTATTTGACGGGCTGAGACAGGAATAAGAGAAATGGCTGGAATATGATGTAAACTACAGTATAACATATCCTACTGCTGAAACAAAGCAATCTTAAACATGATATTTATGTAAATATTTTTAAATCATACTTATTCCAAGAAATGCATTTTGTGCAAGAATTCTGTATCTCTCATAGTTGCACTGTCTTTCTTCTTGGCTTAGTTCTTCGGGTGGTACATAGGGATTCTTTACTTCTGTAATATAGTCCAAATGGGCTCTTACATCAAAACGATCAATCATGTTATTGGTATCACCTTGCCACGGCATCCTGCAAAAATTTTTTTTATACTACTTAGTTCCATACATAAATTCCACAATGTATTTTCACTCTGTTATTAATTGTTACATTTAAGAAAAGGGAATACAGCATGCACCAAATAAGACATATCATCTTCGGCCTAATTATCAAAAGTTGTTACTTCGTTTGGCAAAAATTTTACAGGAGCGAGAAAATACCGTTTCGTGCGTAAACATATTCTTTAGCTATCAATTTTACCACTAATTTATCTAAAAGAATGATTGGAAAATCTATTTATTTTTATATTTTTTGATGAATTCTACAAAAAATGGACTTACGAAGTGATGGGAGTTCATACGAATTTTTACTTTTACAGTTTTAGTTCATATCAAGTATACTTACGCAGTTTTACAAAGCAGTTTCAAAACGGTATAGATTTATTAAAAAATCAAATAATCATTTTTTTTAAGAAAAATATAATAGTATTTATTTTAAAAAAACTTACAAAATTTTTGTTCAACGTAATGACCATTTCTCTCTTAGAATTAAATAATTAGGTATAGGAATTTGTATGGCACAATAATCAGACTCAATTTTTCATAATACTGGAACATTATGGGCGTATCACGTAATCAGTATTAAAGTAAAGTTATATGAATAATATAATTAACAAAAATACAATTAAGTCAAAAACTTTAACAAGTTAACAAAAACGGTTTTAAAAGTGAGATAAATCATTGTAAAATTTGTGATAATCTTTCTTCATTGTGTGTTTAAGGGCCTGGAGATTCTGGTACTTTTCCTTTTTAATTTTGAGCCTAGTAGAATATAGCTGAGGAATCTTCCCAGGGAATGCAACTTATTTTCTTCATTCTGAAAAGGCTGTACTTATCGGCGGCGGATTACGCTTATATGGTCAAAATTGCTTGCAAAAGAAATCCTTATGAAGTTCAGTACCTTTATCATCACTTTTTTTAAAGATATCGAACATAATTTAACTTTGAAAACCTAACACTCAAAAAAACTGGACAATTTCAATATATGTGCAACGCGAAGAATAGTAAATCGTTTCTACACAATCAGAAAAGAAATACCGACATTAATTAAAATATTGGCGGTTGCAAAGTGATTAAAATTTTAGAGGAGTAAATACCACTTTGCGGCTAATACTGATCTACTGCTTAGGTTATAAATTAAAAAATGTAAAATGCAAGACATGTTTTAATGCAAAAGAAACTGGTTACCCACTTAGACGAAACATGGATCCTTTCACATTATACTGTAAGTAAATGTTGGCAAAACAATAGCTACGCTAGTATAAAAAAAATAAACCAGGGCAACGATGGATACTTGTACATGGAGATAATGGATTCATTTAAGGGGCTGATTTTTATATGAATGCAAAAGTAATACTGGCTATAATGTGTAATGAAAAACTATCATCACAAAATGGATACAAAATATTTTACAAACTGGTTGAAAGTAAAACTAATTCCAAACTTGCCTCCAAATAGTGTAATTGTAATTGACAATGCGCCTTACCATTTGACACAAATTTATATTTTTTATAGGGATGGGCCGAATATGGATTTCACTGAATACGTATATTCGGCCGAATATTCGGTAAAATTTTTACCGAATCGAATATTCGGCCGAACATTATTCGGCAGGATAACCTTGGGACTTAAACAATTTATGTCGAAACTTGTTACCGTAAAGCACACGGGGTTAGCGCCGGAACCTGCCTATCGCTTCCCGCCACACCTGACATGTTATTGCATTATCTAGTACTGAGCAAATTGCTAGCACATGCTTATGTTTTAACTATTCTTGTGATAAAAAAGTATTTCGTTGTTTTATTCTTAATTAAAGTTAAAGTTATAGCCTATATACGTGCCTCAAAAACATGAATGTGTAGATTTATGCATTTGAGGCACTCTTAGAGTAAGTAGATTTAACCCATAAATAAAATATACTTTCAACAGTAAAGTACATTGCGTTACTTAATTCATATATTTCAATACATTGGACACTATGAAAGTGTTCAGTTCGAATGTTCGGTGATTTAGCCGAATATTCGGCACGTTTACCGAATATTTTTTGAATTCGGCCCCATCTCTAATTTTTTTATATTTTGTTTGTTTATATTTATCTCTTCCAAGTAACCAGTATTCCACTCATTTGTTTATTATTCTTAAATTTAATTTTTTTAAATAAAAAAAATATAAAAATTCACTATAGAGCCTTATAACTTATAATTTTTAAGAAATAAACATTTTTCAATTTTTTTTATAGGATAGGTTGACAAACGAGCACACAGTCCACCTGGTGGTAGGTAACTACCGTGTCCAATAGACATCTATATCTATCTTCGATTACAAATCAAAATGCAGAAACATTGTCACCCATGAGTACAAGATGGAATACCTCGTTTCCAGTAAAAAGGGAATTTGGTTCTCTACACTCACCATACGAGTGTGGTCCCTCCCCGGTCAAGCAGACCCATTTGTGCTACAACTATAATAATAATAATAATGTCCTCCAGACCGAATTTCGGCCACGGCGGCCTGCCTCAACAGAGGCTAGCCATCTGCGCAGGACAGGATTATAGTGCCCAAGTGTATGCGCAAGCACAGGTGCACTCTCTATTCCCTCACTATCATAATCCGATGGGATGGTAAACCAACACGACTGAACTATACTACAAATATAACTGCAGCATAGCTCTACAATGTATAAACACATATAAAGACATCACAGCATGAAGTCTGCTGTTAAGTCGCAAAGGTTATACATTTGGTGCTTGATCTTGATCTTCTACACCCACACAGGTAAAAAGATTCTATCAATTTTTGTGACTCAAACTTTTGTGTAAAACAAGAATGTTGGAAAAAATAATTACAATCATATACTCCACACCACACTTAACCGAAAGTAACTAGTATACAAACAACATAAAACAATTATCAAACAAACATGATGTAATGACGGTTTCAATAATAAGAACGCAAATTTTAGTTTTAATAAAATATTAAACTAACATTATAGCAGGTCCTTCTCCGGCTGCAGCAATAGCAGGATCTAAATGAATTTTACATGGTCGTCCATGAAGTTGCAAAAACTGAGTTGGTTCGGCTTTCTAAAACGTAATAGAATAATTATTTACAACTCGAGAAGGAACGATATTCCAAATACAAAGGAATGAGAAAAAGATGTAATATACAATAATTACAATTTTTTCGTAGAAATCTTTTCGCCGTTCTGCCCTACGTCGGTAATCTACTATCATACCACGAATAATCCGTTCCTGCTTTCTTGCTTCATGCCACATCTTAAAAAGTTATAAATAGCACTCAAATATTAATCTTGATAAAGGATTATACTGAATAATGAGTAATCTACTACGTAAACTGTTTACGTTTCATAAATAAATATATAACAAAGCTGAACTGTTTCATTGATAACACTAAAGTCAACTAAAGTCAATCCAGGACCGACGCCATTGTTTACACAGTGACAGAGCACAGAGTATATATTCAGTAATCTAAATCTATGGTGACAGACATAGAGCATAGACCCAAGACCTATGCCCAAGACCAAAACAGACACATATTGTCCGTTCATCTTAACTTGACGCGTGAGTGATTGGTAGCACTGTTTCCTTAGCAGTCATCTTTCTTTAACCTTTTGAGCGCCACGCCAAAAACTCACTACCGTGTCCTGTACGCCAAAGCGAAAAGTGAACAAAAATACCTACGAAAAAAACAGTGCTGCCAAGAGTTGATATATCGATAACACAAAATAACTTGTTTTTGTTGGTTTTTTATACAATAAATGAGTCTTTATAATCGGGTATGTTTTATTTAATCTTGTGCTGTCTTCCACTCTTTTTTATATATGTACTTTGTACATAAATAAAAAACAAACAATAACAATAAAATAATAGTAAACCAAAACACTACTCTCCGTCGTGATGACGTCACTGTCACGACTGGACGACAACGGCGTAGCTGACCTTTCTTTTTGAAACTTTCTTAGAGATATAGCCGTGTCGCACGTTGTGTATCGATTTCAAAATCGATGTAACCAAAATATACAGATATCTATTGAAAATATTTTATGGCAAGGCGTAGGCCATAGAGAATATAACCACTAGAGAGCGTATAGGCAGATTTCTTCTAAGCATACGACTCACTACTGCGGGCCGGGGGACGAGGAAGAACGCGTGGCTGCAAATGGTCAAGTTGCGTTGTTATGGCTATCTTTAGGGTTGCTCTTCTTAATAAAGGAAAATATTCGTTATCGATAAAATGGATTTTATCATTATGAAATATACTCAATTAAAATCATAGAAATAATATTTAATCAAAATCAATCAGTTACAACGAAAACATTTATTTATTATATTATTATTGATTTTTAAAATTAATTAATTTGTTATATTTATTTCGAATTAAAGTTTAAGGGTCGTGATTGTTCTTTGTAAAAATTTAAACAAGCGTCTACATATTTGTAAATTATGCATCTTGCTAATTCAATTAAATGATTTATTTCATATATTATTGATTCTATTTCAAATTGATGAAAATCAATATACGGGAATCAATAATACCTAATCAGAGATTTTAAAAACCGTTCTCATAAAATAATTGGTACTATATTTCGAAGACCACTCCACCACACTCACTAATTGCCCTCTTATTAAAAATTTTACAACGACGACAAATATATATTACTGTAGTGGATCCGTACAATAAATTGTCTTTAGTGTCCTTTTGAAATTGTAAGCCGTTCTGATTTGGTACACCAATCTAACTAATTTAACTAGGTAACTATAAACTTTAACTAAGAAACAATACCGACAAACTGAGAACCTCCTCTTTTTTCTGAAGACGGTTAAAAGTAGATAAGTATTTTTTCACAGTGTGTGAATTGAATAATCTTTTTATTAGTTTTAATTTTATTATTTTCGATATCGACTTTCAGCTATTAAAGGTAACAGTAAGTCCTAATGTTTACGATAAACATACAAAGGGAAAGAAAGGGATAGAAGCATTGGAATTGTCTAATAATAGAACGAGACTTTTCCAAAAGACATCAACGCGCGACTCAACCATGTCGTTATTTAACCGGCGACCGTTTTAGATAGACCCCTACAATTGCTCATAATCTGAATTAATCAACAATAATTTTCGTATGTTTTACTTAGCAATGAAAAGTTACTTCATTCTTTTTGGAAATCTGTCCTGGAATGTTTCCCACACCACTTCAACGCGCATTTTGATGCATTATAATTGCATAAAAGTTATAAAAATTTGCATTAATTTAGCGTGCACACAGGTCTAGCACTTGGACAATACTAAATTGGTTAATACTACCATAGCCGATGCATAGGCGACAAAATACTAATAGTTTTCGAGCGTCGGGGCACTGTATGCGCAGTCAAGTGGTTATATAGTCTTTGGCGTAGGCCAAGTGAATCACAGAAGAAAAGTCTTACGCTCTTATGATAAAGGGGGTTTCATATGATACTGATGTTGCTAAATGATTTTGAGATTGAGAAAGAAAATCGCACAACACAAAATGAAAATTGCTCTTCATACCTTAAGTAAAGAAAACACATTTATTATTTGTAATTTTATATTATTAAAATAGAAAAGGTACGTAATTATTCACTAATCAACAACTGTATATAGGTAATTATTCGCACTAGAAAAATCAGTCTTATAATATTAAAATCTTGGTCATGGAATAAAAAAATCAGTACTTATTACAGAAATCAACAAAGGGTACATAATTATTCAACAATTGTAAATAATTATTTGCACTAGGTCTAGTCATAAAATATTAAAATCTTGGTCTTTAACTCAATCAGTACTTAATATAGAAAACAACAATTAAAAATAATTAATAAATTATAGGTAATATTAGTCTTAAAATAATAAAAATCTTATGGAATAATAAAACATAAATGTTTAGCTGGCCAAAGCAAATTTTCTAACGTGGTAGAGCCATGCTGCAGTTATATTACGGGAGTTAGTAGTTGTAGCACGAATGGGTCGGCTCAACCGGGGAAGAACCACGCTCTCACGGAATATCGGCATCAAATAGTAGCTTAATGCTGCTGTGTTTCGTATGGAAAGTGTAGAGAACCGGAGACCCTCTTTACTGGAAACGAGGCATTCCATCTAAGTCCTCACGGGTGAGAGCGCATCTGCATTTTGATTCGTAATCGAGGATAGATGTAAATGTCTATGGGCCACAGCAACCACTTACCATCAGGTGGACTGTGTGCTCGTTTATTACCCTATGCTATAAAAAAAGAAATTAACCGTAAAAAGACTATAAAGTGTATTCCTACCTCATTGAGGTAGAGTTAATCGAAAACGAAAAACTTTGGTTTCACGATAATTTTAAATTTCCGAAAATTCATCATCGTCGACGCTTTCCAAAATCCGAATGAGTTCTGAGGAATCGTTCATGTTGCACTGCACTAATTTTCCCGCTAATCGCTTATGACGCCATCAGTGTGTCGTCTATACTTGACCACGGCGCGCAGTGAACTGATTTTCGATGTCGCGCTAAGGATGCGCCAGAGTTGAGATATTAGATTTATTATGCGAAGATAATTTGTTAATTTTTTTTTAATTCATGTAGCTAATTATAGTTTTATATTTCTAACCTTTTGTTTTATTTAAATATCAATAATAATAGAAAAAAATAACACGTTTGAGCTTAATTTTGAATAGTTTTCAATAAATTTATGGCTAACGCATTACAACACTAGCGGTCTAACATAGACGACTTTGGCGTGCTGGACATAGTATTTGCTTAGATAAAAATCCATTTTTTTTTAGTTCAATGTTTCTTAGTACTTGTGGCTCTAGAAGACTTGTTTTTTATACTCACATGTTGCTGGGTTATTCTTTTTTGAGGGGTGTAGAATTAAAATACCAGTAATAATTTTCCAATGTCTATATTTCTTATTTTTGTGGGCCGGGTTTTTTGTCATCTATAGACGTCGTTGGCGCTCAGAGCACGCGGGTGCTGGTCACGTATAGACGACTTTGGCGCTCAAAAGGTTAAACTTGATCGGTTGCTATCTGTGTGCTCTTTTGCTTCTTAACTATGTAATCTTAGTTTTAAAAATGCTGAAAGTGGTTAAAATTGCTAAACAACAAACTATTCTTCAAGTTTACGTATTTTTTGTATAAAGAAAAGGCTGAAAACATGCTGATTTAGCCATTGCAACATGTTCGTGCCCGAATTGCCGCCATGACCGGTATATTTTTAGGGTGACCAGTTACAAAGATTTAGACTAACAACAGTTTGTAAAATGCTAAATGATATTAAAATAATTGTATGTGAAGAAATATATATATATATATTTCTTCACATACAATTAGTATATATGATGTAGGAATTTATTTTAGTATATATATGTATAATATATATATATATATATATATATATATATATATATATATATACATATATATATATATATATATATATATATATATATATATATATATATATATACTAAAATAAATTCCTACTTTGAACAAATTACTTGTCGAATTGCGATATGAAATAAATTTTAAAGGTGTGTGTACTACACTATGGAAAATGTTAAAACGACTAGGATATAAATACAAAAAGTGTAAATCAAAACGAAAAAATTTAGTGAAACGAACAGATATATCTGCCTGGCGATTTAATTACTTGAATAAAATTGAAAGAATACCGAGAAGATAGGCGGACTATAGTCTACTTAGATGAAACATTTATGCATTATTCTTATGGGGTCCCAAATTTGGCAGTCAGTTTCTGAAGAAGGTGTATTGGTCAGAGGATTCAGGTACATACACAGATTCAGGAACTACAGACTGCTTTATTAATAATGAGTTACTGCTAGTCAAGTCACAAACTAAATCAACAGACTACCATAACGACTGTTTTACCATACCTGCCACGTAATTGTTTGATTGTGATGGACAATGTACCATATCACACTGTTTACACATATAAAAGCCCTAATATGGCAAGCCTCAAAGTAGATATGGTAGAGTGGCTTCAAAACAGGGGACTGTTGTTTTCATCAAATTTACCAAAAATGTTTTATATGAATTAATAAAAAAATAAACCAAAGCCCATGTATAAAGCTGAAAAATTAATTAAATCACATGGTCATAATGTTTTGCAACTGTCCCCATATCATGCGCATTTAAATCCAATTGAGGTAATGATGATCAAAAGTAATCACTTATAAAAGAATTGTTTGGCTCAATAAGCAATCAGCTTTGGAATAAAGAGTGCTCACATGTTACA